GCTTTCAGTCCTTGGTCCTGACTCAAGTTAATGACCTCAGTGGCACCTCTGCAGTAACTTTCCAATAAACTGATGACCCCAGCTGCATGCAGCTTTCCAGGGGCCTGCGAAACCCATGTCTCACTGCTGACTGACACATGGGCTGATAGCATGCAAAGAGAGCAGCCGCACAATGTGGGTGGGTGATACATTTAAAAATATCCAAAGATATGTGGTCATGGTTCAGCTTTTAAATATTGAACCACAATATCTTATTAAGGATATTATCAATAACTGTAATACATGTTTACAACTGATTCCTATCTAGCTTGGTAACTATTGATATATTGCCCTTTAGGTAATTTAACAGTGTGTTTTCTTCACAAGCCAAAAATTCAACTTACCAATGGAAACCAGTTTGATATGCTCCCTTTCCAGAAACTCCAGTGCCACAGACACATTTTCCAGTTTCATCTGGCGGAAGTTGGGTCTGATGTGGTGCTTTCTGTACATTTTCTTCTGGCTCAAAACCTCCAGGAGTGAAATTAGCTTCAGCCCATCAGTAAATTCCCTCTGGAGATCGGTGATGGTCTTGTTGACGCACTTGAGGTGCTCGTTGCACCACCTGGTGAAGGTGTTCTGCTGAATCTTCTTCCAGGGCGCGTCCTCGGCCAGGTCCTTCTCCCCGGCTGGCATCTCGTCGTCCTCCTCTTCCCCAAAGTCTGTGGCCTGGTAGTACTGTGGAGGCGGCTGGTCGTCGCTGTAGTTATTGCTCATCATGGTGGCGTTTTCCGTGTCCACTTTTATACCTCGGTGACACTTAAGTGTTTAATTGTGCGCAGAAAACTTTAGCAGGAGGACGGCAAGCGCGCTCTCGCGGAGGAAAGTTCACCCTTTGGAGAGTTCAAAAAGCAGCCTAGAGATTTTTCGGATGTACTTGCGAAGAAACCACTTATGTCAAGACAGTGATGGATTAAAACATCCGATGGACAATGTGCAAGGCAGCAGGTCGTCCGCTTTTTTTTAATTGGCACCCTCTTGTGAAGTCGTTCCTCTCTTATAGCTCCGAGGAGGATGTCGGTTTTAGAAAAAAGTCTCGTGGCAGGTGAGCTTGAGCTGCACTGTTAAAGTTGACTCGAGCGTGTTTAACTTGACTGCTGAGCGAGGAAAGAGTTGGGTATATAAAGGACCCAGGGCCGCGTCACTCAGCCTCTGTGATCATACTCTATAATCCTGGAGAATAAGGGGAGTGGGGCTCGGTTTACGGGGGAGAGGGGGCCGTGATTGGTCAGACCCCAGACAGCGCAACAGTTGCGGCATGCTGATTATTTTTAGGCGCTCCTATTTGGGCTGCTGGGGGCCGGCCGGGGACTTGTTGCGAATGTGTGTCATGCTCAGGATCCAAGTGTCTGAACAATTGAGCTAAGAAAAGAAAGTGAGAGATGAGGTGGTCCCTCTGTCCCCCCAACAAAAACGTTTTTACAGAGGATACAAGTAAAAGAAAAGTGGAATTGTAAACTCTGAGGCCTTGGAGGGTAACATTTTAAAGGATTGAGGTCACCCTGATAAAGATGAGTGCATTACGTGTGTTTGACAGCTATCTGCCAACCCTGAGTGAAATGCATCTCAGTGTAAGCAAAGGTCACTACAAACTCAGGGAAGGTTATGGAAAGATACTTGATATTGAAGAAAAACTGTTTATTTATGTTTTATATGAATGTTAATGCACCATCAAGCAAAACCGTGGTAGTTAAATATATTGTTCATTTCACAACAACAACAACAACTGTGGGTTATTGCCTTTTAACTCACTACATTCAGAATGTATTGCTCAATTTTCACATTAAAATGCCTGTCAGGCTACAAGATCATCTTTTTTTTTTACCTATCAAGAAAGGACAAACTGACTTCGTAAATTGACTGAAAGCAAATTAGTGTCACCTCCAACTGTGTCAACATGACAGGGTGCATTGATCGAAGATGAGACTGTGTACAGAAATACTCTGAGACAGTTGACAGCCTGTGCGCATAGTAAAATTGATCATCTGTAAACAAAATGAGTCATTTCCAATAGATGTTGTGTTGCTGCAGGTTCAGGGGCTGACAGGCTGCTGTGACTCAGCAGTCGGTGACACCAGATGCCAGCAGCGACCTCGATGGTGGGAGATAAGAGTCTGTGACACATGCTGGAGGCATTCTCAGGACGCTCCGTCTGCGCACTGCCAGGGGTCCCCGTGTTTATCTCCCACTGTGTGATGAAGTACTTTGAGGATTTTCAACCTTTTTTTTTCAATTTTATGCTTATCAGAATATTTCCCCCCAAAATATATTTTTTTAGTATATGGAAATAAACTTTAATACTGGTATTTCAAAAATGTTTTCATCTTTTAGGGTTGTAAGACATAGATGGCAATAATTCTGTATTTCAAATTAACAAGCCATCAAGTCCTTTTGATTCTTGTCAGTGTCACTTTGTCATATTTATGTATCCCTGTGTGTGCATTATTTTCTGTTGTAGATATGTAGTAAGTACGTGGAGCATCTTACCGTATATTACTGGGTAGGTTTATCTAGAACAGCATTATATTTTCTTGGATGATCATACATTCTGTTACAATTAAACTAAGTTAAATTGTTTTGTACAGTAGAATTCTATTTGCCATTAAAATGCAGCAAAGATTTTAATTTTAACAGAACCTTTGGCATTTTATGCCTGTATTTGACAGGAACAGAGTTGGGGTTTTCAAAGTACCATAACATCACATTTCTCAAGTAAAGCAGAAGAACTTAAAAATGTATTTGATTATTCAGTATTCGAGAAAACGCTTCTGTGTGTAAATGATTGCAAAAAAAGTTGAAAGAATTTCAATTCAAACAACTACGTAGAAAACAGGCACATTTGACTAAATTAACTCAAGTCTCTTCTTTTTACGTGATTTTGATAGCTTTGATTTATCTTTTCATTGATACATACAACATAATCCTAACTTGATAAATCAAATCAAGTTTTATTTATATAGCACATTTGAAAGCAATTTTGGTCGAGCCAAAGTGCTGTACATTACTACAATCACAATAAAAGACAATCATTTACAACAGAAATATAATAAACAAAAACACAGGGAATAGTCAGGTGTCATACTCCGCTCTGACTAGAAGGCCAGAGAGAAAAAGTGTGTTTTTAGTGAGGATTTAAAAAACCCTAGTGTCTGGGCCGACCTCACATGGAGGGGCAGAGTGTTCCAGAGCCTGGAGCCAGCTGCTGCGAAGGCTCGTTGCCCTCTGGTTTTGAGCCTGGTCTTGGGCACTATCAGCAGCAGCTGGTCAGCAGACCTTAAAGCTCTGGCTGGGGTGTAGCGCTGGAGGAGTTCAGCTATATAGGCCGGAGCCAGTCCATTTAGTGCTTTAAAAACAAATAAAAGGAGTTTAAAATCAATTCGGAACCGAATTGGAAGCCAGTGTAGTGAGGCCAGAATTGGAGTGATGTGGGCACTGGGCACGCTTTTTGTGGCCAGTCAGAAGACGTGCAGCTGCGTTTTGGACTAGCTGCTGGCGTTCAATTGAGGCCTGGTCCATACCCACATACAGAGCGTTGCAATAGTCCAGTCTTGAGGTATATTTTTCATTGAGAGAGCCCAGAATATCAACCGGAGAGGCTGGAGGTTGGGGTCCAAAAAAGATGACCTCAGTCTTGCTCTCGTTGAGGTTAAGGACGTTTTTGCTCAGCCAGGATTTTATCTCTATCAAGCAGTCCATCAACTGCTGTAGTGAGTGTTTGACATTTGCTTTGAGAGGCAGATAGATCTGTACTTCGTCGGCGTAGCAGTGGAAGGGAATATTGTGTTTAGTGAGAATTGAACCTAGGGGCAGTATGTACAGTAAAAAGAGGATGGGGCCCAGGATAGAGCCTTGGGGAACCCCACAGATAAGAGGGGCTTTAGCAGAGGAGAAGGCACCTAGCTGCACTGAGAAGCTACGGTCTGTCAGGTAGGACCTGAACCATGCAAGGGCAGAGCCTGTGATGCCTGCGGACTGTTCAAGCCGTGACAACAGGATGCTATGGTCCACACACAGTGTCAAAGGCAGCTGTCAGGTCTAACAGCACCAAGACAGCTGGGCTACCTGAGTCGGCGGCTAGGAGCAGATCATTAAAAACTCTTAAAAGGGCTGTTTCAGTACTGTGTTTGAAGCCAGACTGAAACTTTTCATGGATGCCATGCGTGGTTAAGAACGACTGCAGCTGGACATAAGACAGAAAGTATAAAGTATGTGTAAACTAAATTAAAAAACCAAAGCACAGATTTACATAGACCTTGTCACTGTATGCTTGGCATTTAATCCCCAGCCTATGGCTTCTCACACTCAGCCTTCCACGTTTTCTAATTAGCTTTTTCCTTGTTAGTCTATCAGGTGAATCTATTAAATATGTAAGAAGGGATTTGGGGTGAATTTGCTGAACAGATATTCCTGAGGCCAAGGCCCACTTAATTAGGTTTCCCTGGTGATCTGGCTCTGACATTAAGACTGTAAAGACTGTTGTATTTATTTAGCCATAACTCAGAATGACACAGAGATCTGATTCAGAATCTGTTGGGAATAATTTACTTTAATATTTAATTTAAAGTGACAGACTGTTGTTCAATGAGGGTTAAGTAACTGTACCCCATGACTACGTCGGCACATCCATGCTACTTTTAGTTAATTAGACACACTTGAACTTAGTGACCCATGAGTCGTGGCAATGGAGTAATGAGTGTAGTTTAGGGGGCCCATCGACAACGTTGACACGACAGTTCCTGCCATCTGTAAGGAGACCATGTCTGTGAGCTTATGTCACGTCTCTGCAGTGAAGGTTATTAATATCCATACAACCCGTGAAATGTAATCCCAGCTGAGAGACGGTTGTCACTCAGGTTGACTGGTAGTGACTTCATGAATGAGAACCAGAAATATCCTTAACTCTAAAACTGACTGACGGTGAGGACACCATGCTAGAAAAGAAAAGACTCAGACATCACGTGGGGGGGGGGGTTATATTTATTTTCTTAAGTCATAACAGTACAAAATAGACCTCGATGTAACAAAATAGCCACAAACTATATTGAAAACCACAATATGTAAAGCAACAAGCTGAGAAACACAGTGCAATATAGAAGCTTGTGAAACTTTGATAAAGATAATATTCAGGAAATCATGAAAATAATTATAACATTCATATGTACCATTGCAGTCAATGGGAATTTAATTTATATTGCTGATATATTTTTTAATAGACAGTGGAGCATTTGCAGTCCAGTGGCTCATCTTTACCTTTGTTCGTTTTCCTAAATAGAAACACAATTGCTCAGGCATTGCTTATCAGGAGTTTGTTTAATGACAAATGTGTCAAAGACTTTTAATTAATTTCTGAATTAAATTGGTCTTTCAAGCAACTAAGGTCAAATGCAATTGAAATGCATGCAATGACTACACAACCTTTCAACAAAGAGGTACTGAAAAAGATTAGCAATGAAAGCAGTTCTGAATAACGTCACCATAAATAAACATTTACACAGCATATAATATGGCTATCAAATATACGAAGCTCTTTCAAAATAGAATTAACTTTCTACAAAGCGAGTAAAAATGGATTTAAGAAATATCTCTCCCAAAGTACTTTAGGTCATAACTATTTACATAGAATACAAAGTAACTTAAATTATATATTGTACTTCTAGATGTTTTCGAGCATGCTTTTTTTTAAACCTTAATTATTTTCACCAAAAAAATACGTTTCACAAATATAAACAATAATCAGAGTCCTTCCACATATACATATTTATGTTTTGTATTGACTGCCTTAACAAACATGTCCTGACAACTTCCTATTTAAATATTTTGTAACCATATTAATTGCTAAAATGCCCTCACAACCAACACCAATCGTCACCTCAGTCACAACAGTAGATCAATTTAAGTGTAGCCGAATGTCCACTGGTGTTTATCTGTTCTGCAGTTTGTTACATAAAGTATGTCGTCAGTAAACAAGGAGATGCTGGCGGACATCATTTTACACCGAGTACCTGAAACAACCTGCGATCACCATAAATCTAAATAACAATTCATTAGCCATTTCCTGCTGGAGAGGAACAAAAGCTTATTTCTCCATATTGAAAAGATCAAAAATATAACAATATTATAGCTTGATCCTCCTAAGATTCGCTCCCAAAGTTGCTGGGATATCTTTAATAGCACATAGAAAAACTACAGCGAACATTTGTAAGTGTAACAATGTAGCTGTGGGCGTAAGATAACTGAAATTAAAATCAAGCTGTGGGCAGGTGAGATGAATCAGAAACTGTTGCAGACTTTCTGGCGTCTCGGTTAAATTGATAATTAAATAGGAAAGTGGAAGTCAGACACAAGACAGGAAGTGACCGAGCCTGGAGAAATAAGAATAACAATAATGTGAAGAAGAGCTCGCTGCTCTGGGCTTGGATTGACAGTTGTTTACAATATTTCTCATTGTAACTGCATACAATTTGTGTTGGCATTCGAAAGACATCAATTTGATGTTCCAAAGTTAAGTTTGGCAGAATAATGGTGGCAGAATAGTTGGTAATGTTGGCATGTTGTTAAATCATGCAGATTTTGCAACATTCAAACCAGATGCAGAATTTATTCAAAGGAAGGCAACCATTTTAAGTCAAATCGTTCACATAAACTGCTCTTTGTATTAACATTTAAAGGGCATATGTACATTTCAGGGATTTCAGTGCATCAAATGCCTATACTCCATGTTCTTCATTATTATCAGAGACATCTATGAACAATATCCAAACAAACAAATAAATAAATAATGGATAAATAAACCCAAAACCACTTGGTGCACGGTAAAAATCAAAACCTTAATTTGTATCACATTGTTAGCTAAAAGGAGAGAAACATAATATCCACAGACACAGAGGAGGAGAGACACAGCACAACATTTAGTGGAGTGAGATCAGTCCTCTGTTGGCTCTCTGCAGGTCAACTCTTCATCGTCCTCAACCTCAAATGAGACTGAGTGCATCGTTCTCAGTGCATGTACCTTCCTATTAGCGACAACCTTTTCTACTACACGGCTGTCAGCTCACTTTTGGAGAATTCCAGTTCAGTGTACAGACGCGGCAGGAGAGAGCTGGACTGAAGCAGACGTCTGTCCCTGTGCAGATGTTGCCCATCCAATCAACATCGGACGAGAGCTCTCAACAAGCGAGTCATCATCAGCAGCACTGCTGTGGCCGCAGTGATAGTCAAAATGGAGTTCCAACCTACCTCACTCCCCTGAAGGAAGACAGGAAAATAGTGGTGTTAAGAATCAGCAGAGGCTATTCCTCAGGCACAGATAACATACATGTATTAGGCTAAGGATTAGTTTAATATTTTTGGGAAATATGCTGATTCAATTTGTACAGAGTTAGATGATAAAAGTGTTACCATTCTCTGGAACTGGGGACAGGAGGGGATTAGCGTAGTTTAGCATACAAATTGAGGCAAGGGGAAACAGCTAGCTTAGCTCTCTCTGAAATTCAAAAATAAATGTCCTCCTACAAGCATCTCGTAAACTCCATATAAAAGTATGCATCCTGTTTGTTGAATCTATACACAAATCGTTTTTAAACTACTTTAAATATGAATTTGTGGTTAAATAAATAACCAAGTTTACCCGTCCTCCCAAATGCTGTCTTCATTGATTGTGGTGATACCAAACACCAGAGTTACAGCGGCCGGCCCACAATTTACGGCTCTTGGCGCCCCCAAATACCACAAATTGTTGTTATTGTATTATTTGTGTGTACAGATTAAACCAACAACATACAATGTGTTAATTACTGAGCTGTGCTAGTAAGTATATATTTTTATTTTGGACATCGGTTTACGCCTGTTTCAAGCCTTTATGCTAACTAAATTAATCCAAAACTTTACTTGGAATCCATTCAAAACCACAAAATCTACATTCACATTTTTATTTTGAAGGTGTTTGTTTACCTTTCTATTTAATATAAAAAATGTGATCAAATATGTAACAATGTTTTGGAGATCTTCAAACCACCAAAACAGAAAAAATTGCTAGTATTGTTTTTATGCAGATTTTAGGGCCTTGTTGCGTGAAATATGCATTTAAAAAAAGGGTCATAATCGACCTGAACATTGAAGGGGTTTTCTTATCTAATTATTGGCAAAACAGCACATTTACAAAAAATGTCAAACAATTCCTGTAAATGAGTTATTCAGTACCATTCAAAGAAAGTCATATTTTATTCTAATTAGCCAAACTGCCCACCCGTCCCACGTCCACCTTCCATTAATGTTTAATGTTATACTTGTATTCACTTCAGGCACATTTGGCTTTAGACCCTCCTATACCAACCACCACTCCAAATGAATCTTGAAAATGTTTTTATATTAAATGGTCAGTCCATCTAAATAACACAAAAACATATGTTCTTACTTACGTCTGGCAGTATCGAGCCATGCAGATGCCATGCTCAGGTTTTGAGACATTTTTCCTTCAACCCAAATGAAAGTGATATATAAAAATCCAATTACACGTCTTAACGTAAAAACAGTATCCTTAATATTCTGGATTATTCACAGAATACACTTTCTCTCTACAGTATAGTACCTATAAAAACTGTTTCTGTAACTGATGGTTTCTGTGAATAATCCAGAGTAAACAGGAACAACATGTTTTGCACTTATTGTTTTGGGGTAAGACTCAAAAACTGATATCTCAACACCTGAGCAAATAGAAGCAAAACTATCTGCATAGCAAGATAAGGCCTGGCAGACACTGTGTTTTTATGTTATCAGTGTGTAAGAGACTTACTTAGCATAATACATCAGATAGAGATAAGCTCCTCCCATACCTTGCCCTCTGGGACGCCAGCTCCGACAACCAGCACCAGACCACAGCCAATATTACAATCATTCCTATGAAGGGGATGGAGAGAACAGGGTGCTCAGACGGATGGATGAATCTCTGAGGAGGGAATAAAAACAAACACAATACAATGGGAATGAAGGGAATGAATGAATGGATGATTGAAGTATCCAAATAATATATAAACACAGATAAAAAGGCGTGACAACAAAACAAATGGACCACCACAACACATCTCTAAATCAAAAGTGTGACATGGTCTATGACTGTGATATAAAAGGGAGCGGTTTTGATGGAGCGATTCACATTTGCTGTTAAATAAACAAAGCATAACTTTAAGGTGACATACACATATTCAACTCAGTGTGATAATGTGCGAGCAGTTCTGTGTGGCATTTGTTGGCAGCGCGTGATGTAATGGTGACAAAGAAAGAAAGACAGACATACAGCATGAATGTTGTGACTAGTGTATGGTGGTGTTTTTGTCTCTCTATCCTCATCTCGTAGTTTGTTTTGCTGATTTGTGATCGTACAGGCTGAGAGGTCATGGACATTCAGAGGACAAGGACAGTATCAGAGACAGGCACGGGTAGACAGTTTGACGCACACATCTCATTAGGCTGATGAAGACAAAACACAGAGTGTAAGTACTGTTTGTTTCTCATAAAACATAAGGGACCATATTACAGTAAAGTATTTAACATTTCTTCAACCACTGGTTTTGTTCTTTGGTTTGTTTTTTAAATTATTTTTTTGGAAAATTTCCTTTTAAAACTGTATGAAAATCAACTTGCAGAAAGTCTGTCTTGGCTTGAAATGCAGTTAAATCCCCAGATTGTCCTCGGGTCTGTAAATGCAACAGTCACACTGTGCTGCGGTTGCAAAAAAAGTCAAACCCAGAGGACAAACAAAAGGCATAAGATGGTTAAGATAATGTGGTTCAAACGGTTCAAATTAACAGTTTTGTTTTTCCCGTGAGCATTTGAAAACACATAAAAACTATCCATGCTTTCAAACCCTGTTTCAAACACTTATTATGCAACACATGATAGTGTGACTCTGTGACTAGAGAAAAATAAAAGGAGTGTTATTGTAAGAACAACTTATTTGATTTTTACTGCAAGTTAACTTTCACACAGCACCTTATTAAAATGAACAAAACAGGTCTTAATAAAGTAAAAAGGCAATCTCAACGGTCCTTTCATTACTTTTTCTCAATTAAAAAATATAAAACACCTACAAAGGATTTAGTTATTGAAAATAGGGCATTCTCTGCTTGACGCCTGAATGCCTTTTTTGCAGGTTTTGTATTTTTGTCTGATAAAAGTATTAAAGCATAGCTTTCACACAGAAGTTAGAACACAGACACAGCAGGGGGGATGTTCCCCAGCCCAATGCCCACAGTAAATACTGATATGGGCTGACAGGCCAGGTCAGTTCACATCAAAACAGATTTTTACAGTATGAGACACATATAAAGGTTTCAACAGACAGTAGGTGTGATGTGGCGTGTTGGTTGACAGTGTGAGTGCAAAGAAAAAGCTTTTTTTTTTAATTGTGTAGTCATCATACTGTAGCTGTGAATCTCCAAACTATTTCTAGAATATTTTCACATTCATTTAAAATATATTAATTTAAAGTAGTGCTGTCAAAATTATCGCGTTAACGGCGGTAATTCATTTTTTGAATTAATTGCGTTAAAATATTTAACGCATTTAACGCATGTGCAGAATGGCCCGCCCCATACGTGCCACCAGTGGCAGCGCCAGGGTATGGCTGGGGTAGGCTACACCCATACCAAGAAATGGCTTAGCCCCACCATGAAAAATGATGTTAAAGTAAGCTAAATAAAGTCTGCCAACTCGCGCGGAGTAAATTGCACAGACAGCAGTTAGTAAGATTGATTTCAGTAGCCACGGTTTTGAAAACCTTTGTCACGTAGTGATCGTCTTCTCAATAGAACATCTTTGATAACGGCGTGGTATTGTTGCAGGAAGTCCCGACGGAGAATACTTTTGCTGTAGTACAGGGGTGCACATAACTGGTACGCAGGTTATGTGCGTACTCTGAAATGCGTACCGTCACTTGTGTCACAAAGCGCATTTGCGTACCGACGTACTTGTGAAGCTTTTCCAGAAGGCGGTTAGATCACCGGACGACAGAGTCGGTCTCCGTGTGCACAGACAGGGCTGCTGTTAACGTCGGTCTGTACAACGGAATTGTGCCAAAACTACGCCAACCGGCTGCGGGGGGAGACTCCCCCCCTTCACTGGAGAACTGCGCTAAAACAGCTGATCACAACGTTCACACTCTGTGGTCAAGAAGTACTCCACGAGCCGCCGCCCCCCCCTCTGTCGACTTTCCTGAAGTACTCCCCCGTTGATAGAAATCAACACGTAATGAATTAAGACCCCACGGTTTGATGATTAATAGGTGTGTGGGTTGTCTTTCATTTTGACACGCAGAAAATGTTATAATAAACATAGATACTGTATGTTAAATGGATATATCCGCCTTCTTTCCATTCCCACAACAATATACATAAATAAATGGCATATTTTGGAAAATAGTTCGAATGGTGATTAATCATGATTAATTAATTTTTAAGCGGTGATTAATCTGATTAAAATTTGTAATCGTTTGACAGCCCTAATTTAAAGACAAAAACACCTGCACTGCAAATCTAACTACAAAACGGACATTAATCACATACTGTATATATAGCGTTTACATCAGTTTGCCTACTTCTGATACCAACTGTATGTTATTGTATTATTCATGTCTGCCCCTCACCTGAGCCCCCCCTAGCTTCTGCAGCTCAGCCTTGCAGCGCTGCAGCTCCTCCTCCAGCTCGGCGCGCTCCCTCTGACTGTTGTCGTACATAACCTGCAGCTCCTGGAGCTCCGTCTTCAGCCCGTCACACTGAGGACACACAGGACACACACAGGTCACACAGGACACACTGAGGACACACAGAGGTCACACTGAGGTCACACTCTCAGGCGCTTCCCTACAGCAGGGGACTGACTGCATGTATTAAGGAGAGACGCTACAGGTACAAATATAACTTATAGATAGAATCGGAGGGATAAAACGCTCTTTAATTGTCACACATGCAGAGCACACAGCACACACAGTGAAATGTGTGCTCTGCTTTTAACCCATCCTAGTACCAGGAGCAGTGGGCAGCTATTGTACAGCGCCCGGAAGGGTTGGGGGGGTGTCTTGCCTTGCTCAAGGGCACCACTGCAGGGCCCAGGAGGCGAACTGGGACCCCTCCAAGTAGCAGTCCACACCCCATATTTAGGTCTGTTCGGGAACTTGAACCGGTGACCCTACAGCCCCCAGTCCAAGCCCCTATTGATTGAGCCACTGTTGGACTAGTTACCACCATGGAAGTTCCCCAGTTGAATAATAACATTAAGACTATTTTCTTTTGTATTAGCAGTGTTTTGAAATGTTAATTATAAAAAATAAATATTCAAATTTGGCATTGTCTTGAAACATTATTTAGTAAATATGTGCTGATTTCATACATTTCCAAAACATAAATCTGAACATTGGATCCAGTCAGGTTAAATATTCTTGTTTCAATTTGTTGTCAGTATAAGAGTACATTTTTTAAAGAGAATGTTTTAGATAACATTCCATAAATCAATACTGCCCTTAGTCATTAAAAAAACATCTATTTTTGCTAGGTTTTCAGAAATAAAATGTTATATAAATCGGGGAATGAATGATTTATGACTATACCCCTCTGTAAAATCCCTCAGAAGATAGATGGGAATAAAACTTGAAAGTCTGGTGTATTTATAAGCGCTGCTGCAGTGGAGATTTTTGGCTCAGAGCAAGAGCAGAAAACAAAAACAATGTTTTTTTCTGTAATGTCTCACCTTGCAGCAGTGTAATAAGGGTTGGACAGCAGGGTTTTTGATTGAAATCAATTTTCCTATAATGGCTGACCTACATCATCCCATGTTCTATTCATATTGTGAACTCCCAGGGCACCATACCTCTCTCTGGACCTGTGAGGCCTTCTCCTCCGCCTGTTTGAGCTGCTCCCTCAGGGAGAAGATCTCCCCGATGCCCCCGTTCCAGCTGCTCTGTGTTGCGGGCTTCCCATCAAAAGAAATGTTCTTCTGGATGGAGGCGTCCACCAGGCGACAGTTCCCAGACTGGGCCATGGTCATGTAGCTCTCCGTCATGACCTCATCGCAGCCGGTCTGCATATCCTTCCCCTCTGAGCCCTCCTCTCCGTCTTCCTCCTTCAGAGACAGGTAGACGCTGGAGCTGGAGGAAAAGGAATAATGGTGAAAAACTCAAGAAACGTTTGATTTAAGCTGCAAAGGCCTTAAGCTCATAAATTGACTCCAAATAGGCCGATCATTTCCCAGATGAAAGGCTAAATGTGTTTTTTCCAGCAATTATTTAGTGAGAGCTTGTTAGTGTTTGTGTTGTCACATTTCATATGCAGAGATTTCCTCATGGCGTACACAACATTTGATAACTGATTGAGACATTATGTATCTAGCCAGCCTTGTAATAGGGCTTCAACTAAAGATTATTGTAATTTTAGATTAATCAAATGATTGCTTCCTTTGTTATCAGTTAATTGTGTGGTCTGTTAAATGTCACAAAAGGACCATCACAAAATAATTGCTTATTTTGCCTGACCGACAGTCCGAAACCAAAACATATTTATTTAATTAAATTCAAAAATATGCAAAACAGAGCAAAGCAGTGCTGGAACTAGAGCATGTTTGGCATTATTGATTTGTGAATTTAAATAGAATAATCATCATATTAATTGGTATGTTCTCGACGTAGTGCTTACTGCAAATTAATCCATAGTATAACTTATTTGGTGGGTTATACTGTATCTCTGTGTTGTATATATTGTGTTTCTCCCAACTCATCCTTTCCCTTTCTATTCCTGTAAAGCACTAAGTAACGTCGGTTTCAATAGCGCTATAAATAAAGTTAGAAATTGCTTTTGATTTATCAGGACGTCTCCATCAGCAGATGCCCAGTTTCCCATCTGCTGAGGGAAATCGTGTGATGCGCTAAAAAAAAAAAATCAGCAGTTGCTACATAGATCGTGTGAGGAAATCGTTTTTAAGGTCAAGAATTAACTTTCAATTTCAAAATTGTTGTCCATTATCTTTCCATTAATCTACTTATCATCTAATAAATGTGTGTGTAATCCCTCGTATGATGTTACAGTTGTACTGCAGCGATTAAACAGGTGGCCGGGCCTTTCTAAATGAGACATGGCGTGAATGACGAGGGTAATATTCCAGAGGGATCCCCTTCCAGCTGATGCAGGAAGCACAGCTGATGAGAGAGCAGCCATCGACCTCTCACCATGTCCTCTGTCTCTGCAGCAGCTGCAGCCTCTCTGTGAGACGCCTGTTGTCCTCCTTCAGGGTCTCACACTCCTCCCTCAGCGTGCGGCACTCCTCCTTCAGCAGGTCCACGTCACCTGGCAGGACAGAGAGGTCAGACAGAAAATTGTTAAATGGATTGTGTTTATATATCGCTTTTTCCTTTTTTTGTCACCATTCACACCCATTCATACAAGGTGCCACCTGCTCAGGGAGACTAACATTCACACATCGTTGGCCCTGCCATCGGGAGAAACTCGGGGTTAAGTGTCTTGCTGAACGACACATCGATGTGTTCACTGCAGGGTCTGGGGATCGAACCACCGACCGTAAGATTGATAGATGACAACACTTCTGAGCCAAGAAGAGGTTAAGAGAAGGAAGATAAGGTGAGCTCATCTTTAATGTTACTGATTGAGACTTTGATATAGTCACAACATCTTAAGAGTATACTTAAGGAACTCTTTATAATAACCATCATTGAGTGGTTCAGTTGATTCAACTTAAGTTAGTCATTTAGATTGATGTTGACAAATTAGTTATCTAGTAATGCAATAGTTACACTTTTAAAAAAATGTTATCCCAGATATACAATTTTACTGATTTGAAAAACATTGTGAAGGGTTAGAAATGGCTTTATAGTAAACTGACTAAATGCATTATTTGGATGGCTACTACTTTCTAAATGCTCTTGTCCATCATTGTTTCTGATGCATCAAGAACTACTTAATATATTATTGTGATCTTCTCTTTTAGCTATGAAGGTATTATCTAATCCAATGAAACAATATAAATGGTCGCATTACTTAAGCATTCATTAGTTAAAACATTATTATCATTTATTTGTATGTAAACCGTTATTGATAACTATTAACTAAAGCTTAATTATCTATCAACAAACCATTTTCAAATAAGGTTATTACAAAGTCTTAGCACTAATATGACTATGTTTAGAGTTAGATGAGTAGCTTGATGTCAACCCAATGCCAATTTGTTAAACATGAAGCTAGCACCAGTTGCTAGTTAGCTTATTGATAACAGGGGAAACAGCTAGTACGGCTCAGTCCAACAGTAACTAAATCTGCCTACTAGCACTTGTATCGCTCAATATTAAAATATCATATCTTGTTTGTTTAATCCAAACAAAAGTCTAAGTGTTAAAAGACATGTTGATGTTTTCTAGAGGGATGTTAGCTGGATTGTGGCTTGACTGTTGCTCGGTTGCCAGGCAAAGAGGAGAATCCAGGAAGTTACTGGTTCTTCTCACCACATCGTGTCAAGAAAGCAAATAAGCGTGTGTGGTCAAATGTCAAAAACTATTCCTGTAAAAGTATTGCCCACTGTGAGTTAGATTTCACTTCAATATTAATGCCATTCTGTGTGATGTTTACATGAAACAGCCCAGTATGAAATATCATGAGCTCCCCTCTGAGACTGCAGAGCCCAGCGATGATATCATGTGTTACAAGAGTGTGTCCCTCCCGCTCATGACTTCATGTCCCTGGTATTTTAAATGCACACACACACACTCACACGTACACACTCAGACACCACTCCCCTTGCAGCACTCAGCATCACATTTGTAATATTTATTAAACCCCACAAATGATTAATGTTCTTGACTGTGAGGTGCTAAGCTGATATGAGGGTTGGAAGAAGAACATCTATAACATCATGTTCCGTTTCCATAATATCAGGCACAAAGACTGATCGTGGACTATTTGTACATTAATGTGAGTTTGATAAATGTCTCCCACTAATGGCTTTATACATGTGGTGTGAAGATGAAGTGTCAATACGGGACTTGATTCATCTTATCTATTATGTACTGTAAGTAAAACAATTATGGAAAGGAGGAGAAGGTATGTGTGAAAACTACCAAAACCACCTCGGCATTCTGTTCCACCTTCCTCTCTTACATCCATCCCTTTTATATTCTATTTTATTTTATTTACTTGCACTATTGTATCCATTGTATTGTTGTTGCACTGTTGGAGGAGCCTGTGACCTAAGATTTTCATTGTCATAACTACACTGTAGCTATGCACAAAATGACAATAAAAGCCTTGAATCTTGAATCTTGAACCTATCTTTTTTGTGTTTTCTTTATTATTTCTACACCTCCTCTCCTCCCCCCTCACCCTCTCTCCTCTCGGCCACCCTGCGCTGGCTCTTCATGCTGATCTCGGCCCTCAGCGTGGTGATCTCCAGCTCGTACTCCTGCGTCTCCTCGCTGAGGCGCTGCAGCTCGGCCCGCCGGCGGCACAGCTCCTCCTGCAGCGAGGCGATGTCGAACTCCCTCTCTGCCGCAGCCTCCTCCGCCGTCTGCTGCAGCAGGATCACCTCCTCCTGAGCGACTCGCAGCTCCTCCTGGGCCTCAGCCAGCTCGCTCTCCTTCTCCTCCTCCAGGCTGTCCATCTCCTCCTGCACAGAGCGCAGCTGGGCTGTGGGGAGAGGAGGAGGAGAGTGTGGCTTTATGGGGGATGTGTAGGTGGGACTGCAGCATTACTATAGATTTATATATTTGTGAGTGCGTGTGTGTCTCACCTGAGCTTTTGCAACAGTGGGCTTGTATGTTTTTGTGAGTGGGTGGAGTGCTCGTGTGTGGGTGTGTGTGTGTGTGTTGTGTGTTGTGTGTGTGTGTGTGTGTGTGTGTGTGTGTGTGTGTGTGTGTGTGTGTGTGTGTGTGTGTGTGTGTGTGTGTGTGTGTGTGTTGTGTGTGTGTGTGTGTGTGTGTGTTGTCTGCGTGTGTGGGTGCTATATGAAAGTGGAGCTGATGTAACTGATGGTAACAGACCTTTTCTCAGGGTGTTGTCCAGACTATATGTTTACTTCTCACAAAGACAATATTAACACAAAAATAACGCCGATAAAACCTTTGATAACTCAATTAAACACTTAAGACCTGATTGTTGTACGCAATGCATGCAAATGCATTAATAAATAGTTTGGCATTCATCCAACTGACTGAAAAAGAAGTGGCAGCTTAAAAACAACACTTTATAAATGTTCTTTGTTTATTTCTGTAAACAGATTGAGTTTGGAGTTTCTTTCTATCTTTTTTCTTTTGCTTCATTTGTTTTCAAATGATGTACTTGGGTTACGTGGGTTGGGGGTGTGTGAGTTGTACTGTTTGTTCTTAGGTGTATTTTGTTGACCCCTTATGATTAAACACAAACAGCTTTTTGAAGAATAATTGTGTGTCTCTATGTGAATGATTTATTTATTTCAAATGGAATTTTAAAAATGGTCACAAATAAGAAAATGCCCAAAAATATACAAGCTTTTAACGTGTTCTTGTCAATCATACTTATTTAACACTTTCTGTCTGAGACTATTCAGTAGAGAACTAGTAGGATAATAGAAATCCCTTACAGTGATATACAAGATGTTGATTAACGCTCACAAATTGTTCCACACAGGCAGCAGACAGTAAATCCGCATGACCTTGACTATTGAAAAACATGAGAAATATAATATGCAATATCTGTATTCGATTCTGTTTGGATGAACAGTCAGTTATTTCCTGGGTTTATTCAGGGCATAGAGCTTTATTGCTGACGTTTTATTTGTGTTGTTGATACCTTGCAGATTCTGGATCTGGCGGGTGAAGGCTTCAGCCTGATGGGCGCTGGTCAGACGCTCGTCCTCCAACAGATCTGTTGGAGAGGTGAAGTGAGCGGAGGAGTAGAGGGGAGGATTTGGAGAGAGATAAGAAGAAAATGTCAGTTCAGCAGCCAAAGAGAAAGATCACATCTTGATAAGCTCTTCAACCTTGAGGCATGTGGGAATGACACAAGCAGATCTGTGTATGTCAGTGTGTTAATACATGTGGGCCTGACCAGCATATTGTATAAGATGAGTTAGGGTATTCAAATGTATGAGTATATTTTCACCTATTTTTCAAATCAAGTCAACAAAAGAAATAAAGCAGATTCATTTGGCTGTGCTTTTAATTTTCTCTCCTATTTTTCTCTCTCCGTTTCATTTGGTCTCTGTTATGCCAAGTCCTTTCTCTAGCATGCTTTGGGCAGATCTAAATATAGTTTTAATACAATAACAGCTTCTAGATGAATACAGAGGACCTTCAATTGAGTCTGTATATTCTTAAAGGATAAATTACTACAACGTACCAAATACAACCTAACCTTACCTTTAGTGGTATCCAACCATATACTGTATATATATTTAGAAATGCATTTTCTTTTTTTTCAATAAATATGAGGGATAAGTCGGTACACAAATGTTATCAAGACTAAAATGTGGTGAACAGTAAACCAACCTCACATCAACAAGATAGCATAGTCATTGTGATCTTGTTGGCGTTCAATGTAAATACTGCTATATTTTACTATATTTTTTAATGCTATTATAGTTTTTTTGAAATAGTTCTCTATCTGTGTTTTTAATTGTTGTTTTACTTTTATGTATGCACAAAGACACCAAGTTAAATTCCTTGTACGTGTCAACCTACCTGGTAATAAACCTGTTTCTGATTCTGATATGTGATCATGTTAGCACTCTGATGATAGCATTAAGCCGCGGTACTTCTTCACAGGGCTGCACGTTAGTTACGTTTTGTTTGTGTCACTCATTGTTTTTTTAGTGTTTCCTGTTTTATTTCTCCTCTTGTTACTGATCACTTCCTGCCTTGGGTTTTCTCCCTCCAGATTTGGTCTGTTTGGCCCTAATTAGATTCTCCTTTCCCTCGTTAGCCCTGCAGTCACCAGACCTCCTGCTCATCTGTTCCCATTTCCCCATTACTCTTTCACAATTTATACTAGCCTAGCTCCTTTGTTCTTTGTCAGTTTCTGTATTGGGTTTTGTTTACCTGTTACCTTCCTGCAATTGGACTCTTATCTGTTAGCGATAAATCATTTAACTGCTGCAGGCAGCCTGCTTTTTGTCTGTGTTTGGGTCCTTCCTGACAGTTGTGCTCTAAAAAATGGGAAAGACTAATAGGGAAGTGGGAGCAGGAGAGCAGGAGGCTGGTGACTGCAGGGCTAAAGAGCGGCAGGTGAAACTAATCAGGACAGAAAAGAAAACTGGAGGGAGAACACACGAGGCAGGAAAGGTTCTGAAACACAAGCAGAGGTGAGTCAAATAATATACTAATGAGACAAAACAAAACAAGTCCAGGGCAGATTATTAAACTATCAACAATTGTCATGAGCGTTTTTATATTGAGACAATGTTTCTAGCAAGAAATCTCAAAGAAAAACTACACTTTCTGTAAGGCTATACACCATACCACCAGAGGTAAATAATTGAATATACACTGAACAAAAATATAAATGCAACACTTTTGTTTTTGCTCCTATTTTTCATGAGATGAACTCAAAGATCTAAAACATTTTCTATACACACAAAATAACCATTTCTCTCAAATATTGTTCACAAATCTGAAAAAAATCTGTGATAGTGAGCACTTCTCCTTTGCCGAGATAATCCATCCCACCTCACAGGTGTGGCATATCAAGATGCTGATTAGACAGCATGATTATTGCACAGGTGTGCCTTAGGCTGGCCACAATAAAAGGCCACTCTAAAATGTTCAGTTTTATCACACAGCACAATGCCACAGATGTCGCAAGTTTTGAGGGAGCGTGCAATTGGCATGCTGACAGCATGAATGTCCTCCAGAGCTGTTGCCCGTGAATTGAATGTTCATTTCTCTACCATAAGCCGTCTCCAAAGGCGTTTCAGAGAATTTGGCAGTACATCCAACCGGCCTCACAACCGCAGACCACGTGTAACCACACCAGCCCAGGACCTCCACATCCAGCATGTTCACCTCCAAGATCGTCTGAGACCAGCCACTCGGACAGCTGCTGCAACAATCGGTTTGCATAACCAAAGAATTTCTGCACAAACTGTCAGAAACCGTCTCAGGGAAGCTCATCTGCATGCTCGTCGTCCTCATCGGGGTCCCGACCTGACTCCGGTTCGTCGTCGTAACCGACTTGAGTGGGCAAATGCTCACATTTGATGGCGTCTGGCACGTTGGAGAGGTGTTCTCTTCACGGATGAATCCCGGTTTTCACTGTTCAGGGCAGATGGCAGACAACGTGTGTGGCGTCGTGTGGGTGAGCGGTTTTCTGATGTCAATGTTGTGAATCTAGTGGCCCATGGTGGTGGTGGGGTTATGGTATGGGCAGGCGTATGTTATGGACGACGAACACAGGTGCATTTTATTGATGGCATTGTGAATGCACAGAGATACCGTGACGAGATCCTGAGGCCCATTGTTGTGCCATTCATCCACGACCATCACCTCATGTTGCAGCATGATAATGCACGGCCCCATGTTGCAAGGATCTGTACACAATTCCTGGAGGCTGAAAACATCCCAGTTCTTGCATGGCCAGCATACTCACCGGACATGTCACCCATTGAGCATGTTTGGGATGCTCTGGATCGGCGTATACGACAGCGTGTTCCAGTTCCTGCCAATATCCAGCAACTTCGCACAGCCATTGAACAGGAGTGGACCAACATTCCACAGGCCACAATCAACAACCTGTTCAATTCTATGCGAAGGAGATGTGTTGCACTGCGTGAGGCAAATGGTGGTCACACCAGATCAGAGGTTGCGCTAGACCTTTTCACTGCCCGTCATTTTGACGGACAGGATCGTAAAATTTCCGTCAAAATTCAGTATTACCCGTCGGGGGGGGGGGGGGGAAGCACGGTCGTGAACTGTCAACGGGGGTGTGGGGGGGAGAGCACAGTCGTGAACTGTCAACAGGGGACGGGGCGCACGGTCGTGAACCGTTAGCGCCGTGTTATGCATGCCCACTGCACCTCGCGGGAGTGCGCACAGCGTAAAGCCAAAACTCACAGACATTTCAATGATTTGTACGGCAAAGTTGGGTTTGGAAACGGTATCATTTCCTTTTTGGCAGGCATGCTTAACACCGGAGCCTCGCTGCGGGGAAACTTTAGCGCTGTTCGGAGTTTGTTCTTATCCGTCAAAATGACGGACTGCTTTCAGATTTTTTTTTCAAATATTCGGTTAACGCGACCTCTGCACCAGATACTGACTGGTTTTCGGACCCCCCCAGACCCCCCCCAATAAAGCAGAACTGCACGTTTCAGAGTGGCCTTTTATTGTGGCCAGCCTAAGGCACACCTGTGCAATAATCATGCTGTCTAATCAGCATCTTGATATGCCACACCTGTGAGGTGGGATGGATTATCTCGGCAAAGGAGAAGTGCTCACTATCACAGATTTTTTCAGATTTGTGAACAATATTTGAGAGAAATGGTTATTTTGTGTATATAGAAAATGTTTTAGATCTTTGGGAGCAAAAACAAAAGTGTTGCATTATATTTTTGTTCAGTGTAGTTTGAAAATATAGCAGGGAGTCTAGTTTGCTGTACTTTCCCTGAGGTAACCGAAAATTCAGCAAAACTATTCTGCTTTACATTTTTCTACTGGTGGATATAATGTCATTCCCACCCCCATTCTCATTTCCTGTCCTGTCTCCTGGTGAGTGTAGCATGATTTGCAGCTTGTATTAATAATCCTCTATAGACCCTTGATTTTCTTTTTTTCCTTCACCTCACCTTACATCATTCTCTGACCATGTCACTCACAGGACCCCCACCCCTACCACCTCCACAGCCCCCACCCCCACCCCCACCCCAACAGCTGCCAGCATGGGGACAGCTGACTGTCCTCAGAGGGAGTTTAACAAATGTGTTTTCTCAATGCGATTTAGGACACCCAGTCTGGAAGCCTCCCTCAGCATGAACACAGTTGTCTGAGGAATGCCTCTACCGCTGTCAAACAAACAACTGAGCTCACTGTGTCTTTTAGTGTGACACAGTCATATACACACACTCATAAATATGCACAAACACACACACTGAGCTCACTAGCCCATACCCAAGGCCTTACTCACTGCTTGTGTCCCTGAACATTAAGCTCATCATTTCTAAGCTATGATGTGATGCTCCATTTAGCGCCTGTGAGGAACTGACCGTGTCAGTGGCCGCGTATAAACATTACGCTTCTACAAGTTCAACTAGATTGTGATGAACCGGAGACGTCGGGATGAGTAAAGCTGTCCAGGTAGAGGAAGGAGTTTTCTTCTGTGGTGTGAAAACTGATCAAATGTAAACTATCACTGAGATGGAAAAGTGCAATGTTTGCTTTTTTACTGCAATATTGATTAAATATGGAATCCATGATCATGACATCTTACGACATAAATGAAGCTGATTTATAGCAGGAAGACTCCAGATGGCAGAAGGCCCATAAATGTAAATGTTTAATCGCTCATTAAGTTTGAAGCTTTTCTTGTTTATTGACAACACACTTGAGATGAAGGGAACTGAATGTGGATCTTAGTCTCTGTGTTGTCCACTTTGTTTTATGGTTTAACATTTCACGCATGACCTCAATTGTAGAGATCCAGGAAACGCAAAAGCGAAAATGATAGTGATCAGTGAAATGAGGCGATTAGTCACTGCAAACACTCTGTGTCACAAAATATTGTTGAATGCAAACGGCAGATAAAGACAGTGGTCGAGCTTTTAAATACATCATGAATGGTCACTATTAAAAGGAAATTACTTTATAGCCCGAATTGGTTAAAATTGGCCCCTTTTTTAAAGCATCGCGAATCAACTTGTTGTTCAACCTGCCACTGACTTAGCCGCCATATAAATGCACACACACCATTAAGCTGTTGCTTGCTCTCCATTCAGCCTGTGTTTATGCTAGGATCCCACTGTGCAGATGGCATTGAATTGCCACCATATAATTAAAGGTTAAAGGGGACTCCAGTTGTGGATAATTGTGACATAAACATCTGCCATGCAGTTACAGATGCTACAGGAACTTCTAGCTTATTCAAAGATTGTTTATATTACATTGTTTTAACATGTATTTCTTTAAAGATTTAGCATCTCTCTAGCATTGAAAGATAGATTTAAATGTTTGGGCTGAAATGACAGTATTTAGGTTATGTGGAAGATGTTTGCATGTGGCTTAAGAGCTCTTGATTTCAGGTCAGATGGCTGTAATTAAATGTTGGATAAAAGATTGTGTTACAAGACGATTAATGATTCAAGGCACTAAATAATGAATATATAGTGTAAAGGTAGAGCATTGACCTTGCAGCTCGTGGAAGCTCTCCTGGTGTTGGTTGGACGTTTCTCTGGCGTCGTCCAGCTCCAGCAGCAGCTGCAGCACCTGGGCCCTCAGTTCCTCCAGCTCCTGCTCCTCCGTCAGCGGCTCCTGCTGCTTCTTCATCTTCTCCTCCCCTTCGCCTTCCTCCTCCTTCAGCTTCTTCTCTTCCTCTTCCTGGTCCATCTCCTCCTTCTCGTTGTTCTCCTGCAGGATGCCTCTCTCCTTCACTGTTATCTGGTTGTCCATGGTGGGGCTGCACTCTGCTTTCAGATCGCACGGGTCATCTGAGGAAAAGATGAGTGTGAAATTAGAAATGGGATTCATGATATTAAAAAGAGAGGGTGACAGGAAGAGAGATGACTAGGTGAAAAACCTTTTTGTCATCAACCTAAATTGATTTGAATACAGCACACGGTTTTCTTTTGGATCAACAGCACCATCTTGTGATCTTATCTTGCATTGAGTCTATTGTACACCAAACTCTATTGCACTCATATACCCCAACTACACATAACGGTTTTAATATAGAAAAAATACTGACAACACTTCTTATTATAATAGAGCTTAGTTGTTTATAGAAAGGGATAAAAAGAAAATCACGTTAGGAAGAATGCATCAAAAATATAAGCCTAAACTGTCTTGGCTCAAAACGTTTTGATACGTTGTTATAAATTGAGACATTATCAATACATAATACCTGTTGATGACCACTGGTTACAGTTTTAAGACACATCTGTTTTACATTGGTTTATCCGCTCATTGACTTAACATTTCTGACCAGTAGGTGGAGTGCGTAAGCCGACACAATGCGGAGAGAGAGGGGGGGGGGCGCCTTGTATGCTGAAGCAATCACTATGACTCACCACTCAGCAATGTACCTCCAAGTCCATAATAACACAAGCTAGTACGAGAGATGTGACAAAAACACGTTTCTCTCTTGTATTACACCGTGTCAAATTTCATGGCTGTCTGCAGTTTTCTATTGTTTTGTTTTGTGTTGATTTTCCTCGTCCGCATCAACGTCCTGAAGAGAGTCTACAAAGCCCAATGAAACATTATGATGTATACTCAATTTGACATGATTAGAGCTTTTGGTTTCCAAGGCTGCAGAGATGAATGCAGAGCAGGTCAGAAAACGAGAAGGGAGGGCATAATTTGCAGCACAACAGCATGAGGGTAAATTCTCATTAGACGAGGCAGAAGAGTCTTTTCCCATTAGTTAGATGAGATTTGCTGCCAGGCGGGAAACGGCCAGAGCTAAATGCACATTATATTCACAGTGTCGGTTTGCTCTCAGGTGCAGTTAAAGGTTAAAAGATCATTTGTGTAACTGTTTCATCCCAGGACATTTAGCTTACATCTCACACTGGCCTGAGACCATTTCTCTCTTATTTCTCAATAACATGCCCTCCGGGGTCAAGTCATAAATTGATGTGCAGCATCTTTCATTTTCAAGTGGTCTCTGAACATTTATGTCTGTACTGTAAGCAGTGTGTGGAAGGGAGAGGGGAATATTGTTTGCCGAGATGGGAATAGAGAGATGGGACAGGAAAAAAGTGCAGCAGGGGACTCAGCAAAGCATTAACTAAAGATCTATCTAATTAGAAGTGATGCTCACCGGGGTAATCCTGGCTCAAGGGATGCTTCCATCTCTTGTGGTAATTATTTCTCTGCCTTGTTGTTCCCCTCACGAGATGTAACTATTTCCACCACAACCAAGTATGTATTTTTCTAATCATATCTATAGCAATAGCAGCAGGATGCATCCTTCCTGTCTCATAATAGTCCTCATTTAAACAATGCAGCCCCCCTAAGAGGCATGTGAGAGGTTTCATGAGCACTGGGCTATTTTGTCATTAAACTTTGATGCTGGTGTAATGAGTTAGTCATAAAGAAAGGGAGCAGGAGAGAGGGGCCGGAGCTGCTTGTACAGCCAGCGGCGGCTAAAAGGCCATCAAGAGACAAAAAGCTCCCCACTGAATATCACTCGCATCTGAATCTTTCCGGAAGTAATAATTCAGAAAGCTGGCTCTAACAATTTGTCCTTTGTTTTACATTTTGAATATGTAGCATTTAGACTGCCCTACAATGAGCACAAACGATAGCTGATTAAAAATAAAATGAAATACAGGTTATAGTGCAAGGCTAGTTTAGTTTAGTGCACACTTTTTACCCGCTTCCTGTAGCTGCTGCTGAATGGTCTTGGACATCTGTTAATATGACAGGCCACAAATCCCATCTCTACTTTCTTTAACTTCCTCTGATGCAAATGTATAAGCTTCTGCCTCTCACCATATAATTCTGTGCCAATCATTAACTCTCTAAAACCTTCCTAGAGAGCCATCCCTATACGTCCAGTGTTTCTTCTTGGCAACTCCCATCTGTGTGTTTATCACTTCAGTCCTTAAGGAAGCTTTATCGCCTCACCTTGTGAGTGAATGTCAAACACATTGTGCAGCAGAATTGTCTGCAATGACACCTGTGATCACTCCACAGCATACTTGGCTCAGTGCTGGTGTTTAGTCACGCAGGGATTGCATTAGACATGGACGCTTCTTGCATACAAGAGCGAGGGAGGCATCTCAGGAGCAGAGTTACAGCTCCAGGCAGACGATGGCTTTATCTGGCCTGCACATTCCTCCGTAATCACGTTGCAGCCAAACACTTTGAGTATGTCACTGCGAACATTGTGCCACTTTATAAAACAGACAACAAGCAGGGCTGTGTTGGCCATCAGCATTTCAGAAAAGATGTCTGAGATTACATTTGAATAGTCATTTGGCAACACAAGCCTGTTGTTTTGCTTCTGATTTGGTTTTCGGAGATGAAGTGTAATTATAATTGCACTTTGCCTAATTGAAGAGGAGTGAGGACTTCTCCATAAAACACTTAGTGTGATTTTGCAGTCAGACTTTCAGTTCTGTGTATTAAAGGGGCCCTAATATGCTTATTTAGAGGTTCATAATTGTATTTTGTGCCTCAACTGTGACATTTTTACATGCTATAATCTTCAAAACGTGCTTTAATTGTCTCATACTCCCTATGCTGCAGCACCTCTTTTCACCCTCTGTCTGAAACCAGAGCCCAGACTGCTCTGATTGGTTAGCTGGCCGGCTCTGTTGTGATTAGTCAACGGCTTAGAGATGTCCCGCCCCTTAGCCTATTACTTACAATGTGTTGGAGCAATTTTAGTCTTTGCAGTCCATTAACATGCACAAAAGCCTATAACACACTACAGGTAAAGGAAACCCAGAAGGCATAATAGAGCCTATTTCAATATGCAGCAAAAACGGAAATCCACTAAAACATTTCCTTATAACACTATAATAATAAAGAGTAGATGGCAGTATATCAAACCAGATATTTCTGAAAAAGAAAGATACAAATGTGTTATACTTTATGCTTTATTTAATCAGGTGCAATGTCATTTCAAACGTGATATATTGCAAGAAAGCTTCTCTATGTAACAAGTGGCTCTCTTCCCCTGACTGCTGGTTATATTTCTCATTTCATTGTGGTGAGAGGAACATCTGGAGTCAAATCAGCTGTAAAAAGAAATGATGGCTCACTGAGACAGGAGCTGGAGGCTGTGAGCAGGTGTAATGTGATGGAGCCTCGTGCTGAACCAAGCTTGAACATGTTAATGAGGAGAAATGTGGTGCTGGCACTGTAAGAGTGTGTGTGCAGCTTTTTGTGATTCTGTGTAGGGCTGCAGAATAACTTGAAATTCTATTCTCGCATTTTGGACTAATAGAATATCCTAATCGTAGTAAGCGCAATATTTTTTAAGGACAACATTTGCAAAAGTTATCTGAATAAAGTATTGTGGAGCCAACCTAAAAATTATTCTACACATTTATTGAAAAAATCACATTATAATTTTGCGTAATTTTCAATGATAATGTGAATATTGTTTAATTCCCTCTTACTTCGCACATCATATCGCAATTTAAAAAAATTCATATAAACACAAATAGTTATTTCTTTGAACCGTGCAGCCCTAACTCTGTGTATAAAATGTATGCATAAGTGTGTAATTGTACTTAAACCTGTGTGTGTATGCAAAATGGTGATATGCAGGCTTGTGTTTCATGTGTTGTATTATCTCTTAGGCCCACTTGTGATGAGTCTATACTCATATATGATCACACGTGTTTAAGCTGCAGTCTGTGCATGTATGCCATGGAGCTCTGTGTAGGAGGCCATGCATAATGCACACCGCCCCAGCTTTGAAACCAGCCCAGCACTATGATGCTAGCTTGTTCCCTGCACTGGCACACTTCCTCAGCAACACATCATTTGGGGAAGGGAAGTAGGAGTCTGCAAATCACGGAGAGACTTTGCAAGTGCAAAGTAGGAGCATAGGAGGAGAAAACAATAAGAGAGATGCAAGGAAGGAGGAGTTATGTAATGGCCTTTGAGATGCTCACTTCCTCATGAAACTAAAAGGAGTCACGACACTAGTTTATCTCTATGGTGACCTCTGCACACCAACAACACAGGGATACACCATCTGGAAAGTCACCTTGGCGATAAAGCTGTTTTGTGCACACTTTTGCTTGGCATTTGTCTACTAGTGCTTTTCCCCACAGAGAAGCCCAGGTGATCTTATCACGTGTCCCTCCATAAAGCTCACTTCATAGGGAAGCCGGCATCATGTGAGATTTTATGACTCCAAACTGTGAGACTCAGCAGCTTCAGACGAGGAGCGAGCCACAGGGATGGAGGTCTTTAATGAGGTCAATGCGAGTTTATCTCTTTCCCTCTGTCTCTGTAGTTTGAGCCTGAAAACTCCAGGGAAAGTGAGGAACAACTGCAGCTCGTGACGTCAAGAAAAGAAACGGGATCATAAGCACCAAAGAGTAGGACTGACTTAATGAGCCACTCTGTTAAATGGAAAATTCATGTTTGCATTTTCAAAGGGAATAATAGAAAGTGGGTCAACAGAATAAAGACATTGTAGAAAGAGATACTGTATAAATCAGCCTCATTACATGAACATGCACAAAGCGTGTCAGTGTGTAATTATTACTGCAGGTGACAGATTCAGGGAAGAGGTTTCTTCATGGGCGTACGTGATGGTGCCCTGTTTGTGTCTACATCTGCTTATTTTGCATTAAGGGATATGAAAGAGAACAAAACATGAAAACAAATGATGTATTAACAAGCAATTGTTGCCTCCCACCTTAAATCTATCTCTGTGAAAGATTTGTAATCACTTAAATTGGCCCTGTTTCAGGTTCATATTTGTATTTTGTTTCTCTTCTGTTACATGTTTCCATGCTTTAATGTTCAAAAAGCTCTTTATTTGTTCATACTGCCTGTGCTGCAGCAGCTCTTTTCACCCTCTGTCTGAAAACCAGAGCCCAGTCTGCTCTGATTGGTTAGCTCTGTTGTGATAGGTCAAACGCTAATAGCTGTCTTGCCCCTTAACCTATCACGTACAATGTGTTTGAGGGCTAGCCAATGGAAGTGCGAGTGTTGCATAGTGATGTCAATATGTCACAGAAGTAAACACAAGAGTCCAAAGGAGGCGTATCAGGCAGGGGGGGTAGTGTGTGGGGAAGAAACTCCCTCTGGACAGAACATTGGGATTCTAGCCTTTGCAAACCATTTACATGCACAAAAACCTACAGTATAGGACAGACTACAGGAAAGGGAAAACCCAAAAAAGCAGGATAGGGCTCCTTTAAAACGAGGGGGAAAGACGGGGCACCACAGCTTGTCAGGTAGCGAATCCAAAAAGCATAAAGACTAATGGGGAGAGAGAGTGCACTAATGATAGGTTGTCAGTGCCAAGCCTTTTTGCAAGGGGGGAATAAAAGTATTTTAAATCAATAGCATAAGCTGCAGGAAGGAGTTATGAGTTCATGAACCTTCTTTTTCCCCCTGAAAGTTTGAGGATTTTGTTCCATTATTCAACTTAGTGAGAATTAAAAAACATGTGGCACACTCAATTATTTCAGGTACCTGCAGAGTGCATTGAAAGCTTGTTTTAAAAGGCTCTAAAGTATGATGGGATAGGATGGTTTAGGCAGGGGAGAGGAAATGGGATGCCTGAGGGTAGAAAAACATGCAAGATTTGTTTTCATTTGATTTGCAATATTAAACAGTGATGTGAGAATCTCACATTGTTGTTTTTCTCACAGGTCTTTGCAGCTCCCAGATCTACAAAGTTTGTTTACAGCAGCAACTTTGCTATGTATTAGATTTAAAGAGCTGAGATAAACCCTGTTTGGCCACCCTTTGGGAATATTGCTGATGATGTGCATTTCACAAGGTGAGAGTACAACACTGGAGAGGAGTGGAGGGAAAAGTCGGAGAGGACAGGAGAGAAACTATGTGTGGGTTGAGGCACTGGCAGGTGCAAAGGTTTGTGTCTCTATGCCTGTGTGTGCACGTGAGTGTGTTGGAGGGTGTGTGGGCGCTGAAGAGAGCAGAGGACTGCGATGGAAAGAGGGGGAAGAGATATTGTGTAGGACAGGCAGCAGAGGAGAGAGAAGGATGGAGGGAGATATGCTCGGTGACTGGTGCAAGTGGGAGGAACAATATGGTGGCCGACGGCTGAGATCAGCTGCTAATGGTGTTTTATTGATCAGTGGGAGCGTGTGTTTGTGTAAAAGCATCTGTATTCCCTGTTGGTATAGAAGCATTAATTCCAGGGTAGTATGGAACAACGTCCCAACAGGGCTGAAAATGCATTTCAAATAAAAGTGTCAGATTGATAATTGACCTGATCCAGGACAAAATGAATGCACTTAGATCCATTAAAATCCCAGGGTGTATGAAATTCAAAAAGACATGAGTTTATACCTTCCATCACCCAAATTCACTTTGTCTTTGCTGTTTGTCTATCGTTATTATAATTAGGATTCACACTCCATTAAACCACACACTTGCTAGATGCTGATTTTCTGAAAAGCATGCCTCAGGCTGTGATGAAAGGAAAGTGGTCTCCAGAGTTTAGACGGCAGGAACAAGCTTGTTAGGAAAGAAGCTTTTCTCCTGAGACAGCATCAAATGCTATGAGGGTCAATATGCAGGCATCAGCATAATGTAAAAAAAAAAGAAATTACACGCAAACAACAAAGCAGTGTACTAAGTTTACAGCTGACTCTGAAGAGCAGGGGGGCTTTGAGAGATAATTCTTCCCATAGTTGTTGTTGAAATTTCAGTTTTAGGACAGTAGGCTACTACGCAGGAAAAGGAAGCAACATGGCCGCCAGTCAGAGGGCTGTGACCTGTGGTTCTCTCTGAGCCCCTCCACACTGACAAACATCCTCCCAACAGGAGGGTCCCACACAGAGCTGCTCTGTCTTCACGCCCATACAAAACATGAAGAAAACACACTCCTTGTTGTCGGACACACATGAAAACATTCCACACGTTCTTAACTGATTCTGTGAAAATGCACTGTGCCCAATGCCACACATTCATAAAGTTACCAAACAAGCTCAACAGCAGCTGTCAAACCCAACCATTATATGTAAAGTGAGTCCACCACAAGCATACATGGTGAGCTGAAAACAACCTTAGCATAAAAAGAAGCTTAAAAACATCCAGACTCCATCCATTGTCATCATCATCAAGTTTTTAAAAAAAAATCAAATACAATCATAAGACATAATGGAGACATGTGAAATGGGACGCCCAATAAGCTGTAGGAAGCTTGAGAACAGGGCAAACAACAAATATAATGTATTTACATTATATATCAATGATACATATAGAATTGAGAGAGTTTGTGTATTATTCACAACATTACAACCCCAAAAACATACCCCATACTAACCCAACACCCTATAAAAAGGAAACTACTGAAACCCTAACTACTAAATGGTCTAATATTTAATTCATCAGTCTCAGAATAACACATGCAGCCCCTCTAACACAGCCTTGACTAACATGTCTCTGGGTGCCAGCCCTCTATATTTACCTGGCAGCACGTTGCCTCCATCAAAGGTCCACAGCTGACAGAAATGCAGTGTATCAGCTTGGCACAGATCCTAATAAAGACAGTCTCCTTCTAATATCCCCACTTCCTACCAGCTGACCAGCTTTCTGCAGCTCCTCAGCTCACACTATCCCTCGCTTTGAGAGTAAACACTCTTTCTCAGCAGAGATAAACATCGACCCCTCTACCTTTTCCTGCCTATCTGTAGTACGGGGGCTAAAAATAGCCACATCATCGCGATTAAACACATACATACACACACACACACTGACAAACAGCTGAACAGACCTGTAGAGTCCAGAGCCTCCTCGATGAGTGGAGGTAAACGCAGTCCATCCATAGCCCCCTGTAGCTGCAGCGGAGAGGGGGAGACTCGGGAGAGAGTGGGCGAGAGAGGGTCAAGAGGCTCCACACGCCCACCTCAGCTGCAGGGAGAGAGAGAGAGGCAGAAACACACGGAAAGTACTGAGCACTAGTACTCGCCACTCACACACACATGCAGGCTACGATGCACATATACACACACACACACACACACACACACACACACACACACACACACACAAAGAGGCTGAACCTCGGGAGAGTTTGGGAGGGTCCGGGGAGCTGAAGGCTGAGCACTCCGCAGCGTAGGAGAGATGCCGAGAGGGAAGAGGGGAGGAGCAGGGAGGAGGGGGATGCTGTTTTCCAGACGGCAAGCTCTCCCTCTCTCCCCCTCCCTCCCTCAATTTATTCCCTCTTTTACCCCAGCTATTTTAAATACACAGTGGTGGAAATGTGACGAAGTACATTTACACAAGTATTGCTTAAGTATCAATTTGAGGTACTTGTAGGCTACTTTTCTTGAGTATTTCCATTTTCTGCCAATTTATACTTTTACTCCATCACAGAGGGAAATACTGTACTTGTTTACCCTTCATTTATTTGCCATTTCTAGTTAGTAGTTACTTTTTAAGTAACAATATGATGTGTCTATATGATGTATAATCTATAATCAACTCGGTAGAACACAAAGTATCCAAAATGTACTTTACATTGACAAATTACAAGATTATGTATTTATTTTTTAGTGATACTGAAAATAATTGTATAACATTTTATAATAATACAACACTTTTAAAAATGCTATTCTGCGCAACAGTATATTTGCATAGATGCACAACAAAAATGTGTTAGATTTCATCTGAGTACTTTCTTTTTGATATCGTTTCTGAATCTTTTCCAAAAATCGAAATGGTGGTTTATCCTGGACTTTCCCTTTGATACATTAGACCTTGTTGAATAATTGCAAGATCAATCCACCGGTGTGAAATAGTTGGCAAGAATAGCTGATCTCCAGCGAATGGCAATGCATTCAGCTGGCAAATGCTGAACCCATACATATTTCATAATGCAAATTCAAACTGGCTTGTCTAGTTCCAATAAGCTAAGTTGACATTTTGAAAATACCCTAACAAACAGCTTTCAAGAAGAGCTGAGCACCAAAACATTTCAAAACTCTGTCTTTGCTTCGTAGCATTCATTCATGTGCTTTCTTGCACATACACACACATTAACACACACATGCTTCCTCTTAACCTCATGTACAGCCTTGGCCCCTAAGCCTGATGAATTTACCTATAATGAAGTCCAGACAGGCTGTTGCTGTGGAGGCTGACAGCTACCACAGCAGATTACTGATCATTTCCCCTCCATTGTTCATTTCCTCCCCTTGCTGACTCTCTTTCTCTTTCTGTTGACTGCTTATAAACAGTTGCTCTTCCTCTATAAACAGCATCTCAAACACACATACCTCTATTTTCATCACTTCCCTTCACACATACATTTCTTTCTCTCTCTGACTGTCTCTCACCTCCAATCACATCTGGCAACTTCTGTGCAGAACGTAAGGAGCCAGAAATGTGAGGTGTGCCATGAAACAGTCTGAAAACTGTCAGCTTAGAGAGAGGAAAGGAGGGTCAGGCTTTACCGTTCGCTGGCCCAGTAGGAGGATATTCCTATCACAGCACTGTCAAAGAGCAGGAAGTGCACACAGACGCACAAACAACACAGTCAAACACATATGGAACCTGCCGACATCTGAAAGAGGAAATGTAAGAAAAAAACAGAAGTAAGTGCAACGGAAATAGAAAGACGGTCTACATGTGGGTGTGAACAAGAATAGATGATAAAGGGGAACCAGACTGAAAAGATAAATGTCCGCTCATAGACACTTCCTCTACTTCCGGGTGGTTCTGCACAGCTTTCCTCAGGCAGCCATGACAAGAAGATAACGCATGCGAGCATCTTTCAAAGTTGTCCCACAAAAAGTCTCTCTGACACACAAAGGAAGGGAGAGCTGTTTGCTGACAAGGTGTTGATAAGGAGTTGACAATGTCTGGCTTCAGTCCACCGTGTCACAGACTGTGGCAGGAGCCTGGTGGCAGAGCAGAACGAGCACAGCAGGAATGCAGATACAAGATTAAACCCTGGTCCAACACTACAATTATTCTCACTGCTTGTTCTAAACTGCTTGCTGAACCAGATGGGTGGGATGGAAGTCTATCTGCCAAAACACACTGAGATGATTGTTGAATGGCTGGACTGGAAGCTACACTATGAGACAATCAGTCAGCAACCTCACCCAAAGTTTTAATTTTGCAAAAGTACAGTATATCCAAGTGCCATACATACGCCAAATGTCTGTGAGTGTTTGCTCTGTGACAGAGCTCTGTCCCGCCGAGTGTGAGGTCATGCACAGGGAATCCATCCGCTCATACTGTCTTCTTTGTTTTCTCCACATTTAACAAGTCATACGCGAGACGCCCTCAGAAATGGAGCCTGTAATTGAAAATAAACACAAATGGACGCACACAGATGCAAAAACACACAAAGGGGCAACAGTTTCTTATCTGCAATTGTAACGTTTTACATTCTACATGCTGCACTCATGTCATTTTGAGTGGAATGATGGTTTCAATGGGAGTGTTTAAAACGGATTTGCACAAACATGTGCATCATGAATGCGTGCAATTCTTGTGTCTGAGCCGTCACTCCAGGGATGGTGAGGTCAGTTTGTGGGTTGGTCTTTAACTTTGGCCTAGATTGAAATAACTCAACTATTGGATCTATTGCTATGCAATGTTGTAATGACATTCAGGAGGATGAATCTTCCTAACTTTTGTGATCTTTGACACTTTTAGTGTAATCCTGTGAATTTTGTTGACAGATATTAAGGGTGCCCTAAGAGCTTTGACTTTAAATCTCCCACCATCATCAGGTAAAAGTGTCCAATACTTGGATATAAGCAAAGCTCTGCCAAACTAATCAGAATCAGAATACCTTTATTAATCCCACACAGAGGAAATGTACGTTGTTACAGCAGAAAAAGAGCCACAGTAATGTTATATATGTTATGTTACATGCATTAAAAAGTACTAAGTTAAAAAAAAAAAGTTATAATAAAAAATATAATAAAAAGTTAAACAATTTACAAAATACACATCATGTAACAGTTTTTAGGATTGAATTACATTGCCATCAGCTTCAACTGTTTTGTCTTCAGCGTTTAGCATGGCTGCAGACTCTTTAAAATCTGAAAAATCAGACTGACTATTTTCCTCTTGAGTAGGTGTTTGGATTAGAGGAAAAACCATTAAGACAACATTCGGACAAACATCATATCAACATCAGAGCACATATGTACATTCAAAGTGTATCTCCCAACTAAGATGGCAACTACCTGAAGACTCCTAATGCCCATGTTTGGTTTGTTTGTGTTTACATGGAGCTTAGTCCTATCGGAAAGCTAGGTCGTTAGTAAACCTGGAACAGGTTGTACTTGTTGTTAACTCAGTCTCCAGCTGCAGTGTGCTCCTAATAGGAGCAGAGGGAGCAGGAGGAAGGGGAAATGGGCCAAAAAGCTAATTTTTTTATCAGGGCCCCAGAGTGTTAATCAAGTAGACACTAACCATATGGCATTCAGACTTTAATTAGACTTCATGGACATTGATGGACAGAGCAGAATGAAACTATTATTTCCCAAACAAGCAAATGTTTAATTCTAAGGGGGAAAGTGCCAGATGTTGTTATTTTACCTTTACGAACTGATTATGATGTTCGTCCAGTGCAGTGGTGAGCCGCCAGGGCCCTGAGGGCCTAAGATATTCTAAAAAATTATATTTGAAAACAATGGTTTTTTTTCAATATTTCTTTAGTAATATTTTTCATTAATTGTATTTAAAATAACATTTCCAAATAAATAAATCGAATGGGAAGGGTTAAATGAAAGAAGCTCGTCTCTGCGAGTTATGTGAAGACAGGAGCTGATTGGTGGTCCTGCTGTAAGTAACTCCACCCGCTATAGTAACTCCACGAGAGAGTAATGTCAAGTGACAGTACAATTGACCAATCATATCTTCCCTCTAAATGGTGTTGGAGATTTAAAGGGATAGCTGATCCGCTTTTCAAATCTCCCCGCGTTCCTATGAAGCTGTTTATAATACAGGAAGGAATCCATATCTACAAAGTAACCGTTAACAATATTCTACTTTAATGGCAATATGACAATGCAATACAATCATTACAATACAACATGATATATTACAGTTATATTGTAATGCTTAAAGAGTAATGCCGGCTTACTCCTGCACTGGTTCGCATACTGCAGAGCTACTTTCACCCGAGGGCAGCATGTGAAGAAGAGAGCGAACGCCAGGGATCCACCGGATATATACCAGAGTAAGAAGGAGGGGTTTGGTGTTAGGTCAGCTGGTCATCTTTTCAGGTCATCTCATTGGGAGACGCAACGCTGGCCGGCAGGAAACCAACAGGCTCACCTTACAACCAAAAGGTCTCAAGGCCTGCATACCTACACCTCCCCCACAGAGCAATAAAACCCTGTTTACTCCAACCAGCCCAGAATGTTTATAGCCATTTGTAGTCCTTACATTTATGAAAGGATATAAAACAGAGAAATCAATATAAAAAACACAAACACAGGTATTGTTTGAACAGTATTCACTTAACTGCTACTATTGATCACCACCAGAGAAACCCAAGGGACCTCTCTTAATATCACAAACACTGTAGCTAGATCTAAGTTGAATGCAAATCAGGACATGCTCTCACCTTTCCCCATCTTCCTTTGTCCTCAAAAACACATGTCAACAGGCCCCAAATCCAGCTCACAGTTTTACCCAAATTATTCCCATTTTAAGCTTATCCATAGTTTGCTAACATGAATAAATACAAATATAACTCTACAATGGGTGGGCTTTATTTTCGCGGACTATAGGAATGGGGCGGAGGAGGGGTCGGACGTCCGACCCCGCCCCATTCCGCAGCCAGGGCATATAGGACTTTATGACAAGTTCTGCCCGCTGTGAAGTTTATGCAAGTGGTGCAGTGACGCGTCCTAAAACCCGGAAGTAAGCTGCGCTTGGGTTCCCTCGACCAAAAAAGCAATGGGATTTCTCCATAGGATTTTGGAAAAAAGCTCGAAATAAGGTCTGTGGAAAACGAACCTGTTAGATAAATGCACGTTTTGTTCAGCCGGATAATATCCACATGTCTACCCTACTTTTATAATTTACTAATCGTAAATCTAATCGATAGATTTATGATTAGCATAAATTCGTTCATGATGGCTCATGTCAGTGATAGTGATGACATCGTTGCGAAATTATTAACCGAGTCATTTTCAAGATTGAGTTACAATGATAAATTGGAGTGGCAAAGGATCAGCTGCATGACCCTGCCATTAAGACAGAGGGCCTAGGTATAAAAGTCACGGCTCGCCACTGGTCCAGTGTCAGTGGTCACACAGCACAAGCTGCACTACAGCCATTAGGCCAACATACACTGAACAAAAATATAAATGTAACACTTTTGTTTTTGATAAACTCAAAGAGTTAAAACATTTTCTATATACACAAAATAACCATTTCTCTCAAATATTGTTCACAAATCTGAAAAGATCTGTGATAGTGAGCACTTCTCCTTTGCCGAGATAATCCATCCCACCTCACAGGTGTGGCTGAAAAAACATCCCAGCATGGCCAGCATGGCCAGCATACTCACCGGACATGTCACCCATTGAGCATGTTTGGGATGCTCTGGATCGGCGTATACGACAGCGTGTTTCCTGCCAATATCCAGCAACTTCGCACAGCCATTGAAGAGGAGTGGACCAACATTCCACAGGCCACAATCAACAACCTGATCAACTCTATGCGAAGGAGATGTGTTGCACTGCGTGAGGCAAATGGTGGTCACACCAGATACTGACTGGTTTTCGGACCCCCCCCAATAAAGCAAAACTGCACGTTTCAGAGTGGCCTTTTATTGTGGCCAGCCTAAGGCACACCTGTGCAATAATCATGCTGTCTAATCAGCATCTTGATATGCCACACCTGTGAGGTGGGATGGATTATCTCGGCAAAGGAGAAGTGCTCACTATCACAGATTTTTTCAGATTTGTGAACAATATTTGAGAGAAATGGTTATTTTGTGTATATAGAAAATGTTTTAGATCTTTGAATTTATCTCATGAAAAATGGGAGCAAAAACAAAAGTGTTGCATTTATATTTTTGTTCAGTGTAATTAGCTGGTGGATGCACCTGAGGGATGAGCAGGGTGTCTAATTACTCTCTAATGACGGTGTATCATTGTCACTGTCAGCTATGTAACCTCGGAGCTGTAAAAGACAGTGATTCACCCCCACAGTCGTCTCTACACCACCGGGCTACCAGCCTTTAACTCCCAGCATCACTGTGGCACTCTACGGTTGCCTAGCAACTAAAATAAACTGAAGGTGCCTTTGATTTAGGGCATTTTTAGAGGTGATTTATACAAAGACCTTGATGATAAATGTTGCCATGAATCAGGAATTTTCCACTGGCTGATTCTCAGTATTCATCACTGCAGTCTCTGGTCACAGCTGCAGATCTCACAGAGGAATGAGACTGTGGCTGTTTGCTCGATGCAGGGCACATTTTTATGTTATAGTGCAAAAGCAGAGCAAGGGAATATGGCCTGTTTCCATGACACCATCAACAGGAAATGGGATGGGCCCCGTGCTGCCAGAGGAGGTTAAATCAGCGTGGAAGAGAGGTCACAACTTTCCCATAATATCAAATCATGCGGGACTAAAACCTGTGCTGTAATGTATTGAAGGAAGTTTACTCAAGTATATTACCAAAGTACAATTATGGGTATACCTTACTGAGTATTATTTTCTCGTGCTACTTTATTCTTATGCTCCACTACCATTTAAAAGCCAATATTGTGCTTTTTATTCCACTACATTTATTTAACAAAATGAGTTACTGGTTACTTTACAGATTCAGATAATTAGCTAATGCAAAATATAAAATAAATAAACTATGAAATATAGGTAAAGACACCCAGCAGTAGCATTTAAAGTAATTAAAAGCAGCTCCACATTTACCCGCTTTTAAGAACACATTAATATATCAAAGATATTAACCCAGTAATTTAATATACATGATTTTGAATTGAGCTATTGTGCACAATAAGTACTTTTACTTTTGGTACTTTAAGTACATTTTGTTGCCAGCACTTTTGTGCTTTTACTTAATTAAGATTTGAAATGCAGGACTTTGACATGTAGATGAGTATTTTCACACTGTAGTTCCTCTTTTAGTACGATATCTGTGTTCTTCTTCCACCCCTGAGTAAAACACACTCACATTATGTATTCATTTATAAACACACACTTACAACTAAAATGTTCACCATCCATGCTTAAAGCTAAATTATATCCGCACACTTCCCACTCTCTCGCTTGGCTTAAGGGGAGAATAAAATTAAATGTGTCCCTCTCACTCCCCCTCAGTAAAGGAGATTGGGAGTGAAGCTGTGGCGGTGCTTTTGGTGGCCTCCTGGTCCCATCCCCTACGGTCACCATGCCAACCTGTGTGAGGAGGAGGCTTAGCTGCGGAGCCCAAAGAGACTTGATGAGGTCCTGGGATAATTAGCAGCTCATTATGGAGCCAGTGAATAGGCCATGAGCACCAGGAGCCACAAGAGAGCTCAATGGAAAACATAGGACACATCAAAGGAAGCGCTCACTTTTCAGATCACATAATACAGAGAAGAGAGAGAGATTGGGAAAGAAAATATTGCTTTCCGTTCACACCTACAAATATAGCTCATAATCCCCGTTTTTAAGCCTCTGTATGTGTGTGTGGGTGGCTGTGTGCATGTGTGCATTAGTCAGAATCTCTGCGTCACACCAATCTGAATATTTCTTTTCCCCCTTAGCTGCTTCACAAATGCACTAAAACACAATCCGTCCTACACACAGATAAATGTGCACAAAACTCCCAATTCCACTCCAAAACTTAAGCTCTCATAAAGTACGGGAACATTGTGTGAGTGCCTGAGATCCTCAGTTAAGCTATCTGTCCATCATCCTGATTTTCTGTGTGTCTCACCGTGTGTCTGTGCCTCTAGATGGCATGCTGGCAGGCACTAGTCACGCACACTAAACCGTGCACACCACTCTGCCAGGTGACCCATATGGCACTGCGGCTGAATTTAACCATGCATGAGCTTCATTTTCTCTGGATGTGTGTGTTTGTGTGCCCATACTGCTCCCTGACAGTGATACCCAGTAGTGATGTCGAAGCTGTTTGTATTGATAAGAACGTGGGATATGTTTTATGGTATTTTAAGGTGATATTTCACAACATATGGCTGCGTGATGTTGTTGGAGCGACGTATGCTGTAACAGCTCGGCTAGGTCATCATAAAAGGAACTTTAACAGTTTGTATCATATGCATCCTGGGTAACAACATCCACCCTGATGGGAACCACATCAGACACAGTTACAGTTTGCAGAAAGCATTCCTGTTCAAAGCATGGAGTACAATATGACCCAGATTTAATGTTGATGAAAGTATGCAGAAATATTCTATGATGGAGCGTAAATGGTGTGCACTTTGGAAAATTGTAGAAAAATGTTGTTAACGTATGTTAATTTGGTACAACAGCAGAGGGTGCCACTCTTCCACTTTGCTAGTGATATCCCTGCCAAAGGAAAGTGTTGTCTCTGTCTAAATGTGTGAAGTTGTGCCATTTACTTAGATTGGAATTTAAATGTCCCCTATCATACTGTTTTCCATCAATATATTACAGGTCTCAGATATATACAGAACATGTCTCCGAAGTGTTTAGCTCCAAATACCAAACAGATCATTGCAGCATCCCATAATCTCCTCTGCTTCAGCCCTGCTTCAAAAGTGCTGATTCTCTGTCTGTTACTTTAGATGAAAAGAAGGAGCCACTCCCCACGCCCCTCTGAGAGATATTTGGTTAAAAAGAACACAATGGTGCTCTAGGAGGAGATTCAGGTGATAAGGGGGGGGGGGGGGGGGGCCACAATCTGATCAGCTCATTTTCAGACAGGTTTTTATATAAATGGATCAGGAGAAAAAGAGTGCAAATCTTTTTTCCTGAAACTTTCAGAATCTCTTTCCACATGTTTATATAAAATACATGAAAAAGTGGATTTTGCACAATAGGTGACCTTTAAATGAATAATTTAGATATAAATCATGCAGGAAATCTGGTTTCTGCTATTAGGCTGAGTGAGATGCTCCAGCCTTCCTATATGTTTTCTCCATCTCTGTGTTGTGTCAACAGTGCAGCACCATCACCCTCTAGTGGTGTTGAAGGAGATTTGTTGTGTACAAATTTACTTTAGAAACTGTATTCATATTACATTTTGATATGTTCGTACCTCATGGGCAAACGTCTGAGAGGAAAATAAAGAAAACAGCAGTTTTATTTAGAAAGAGTGTTCCCAGTTTCAGAGTTATAGTGAGTAAACAACCTGTCTTCTTTTCTTTTTACAGTTTTCCTCATTCGCATTGATTCAATTCTCGGATGATAAATATTTGTTTAAAAACTGTTTATTACAAATCTATTAACAATTCGTTTTTTTGTGCACTACAGATTGCACATGGCTTTGTGCCATCATCTTTTTTAGCCATCACATGCAAAATACTTTGTTCAATTATTGAAATATATTATTTGTCTGCTTGATTTCCAGGTTAGCTGCTGGGTGACAGTAATGAACTACTTATCACAATATACTATATTATATTTAACATGAAAGGTTAACATACATTTTCCCTGTTTGAATTAGACTTTGCTGTGTACACACACACACACACACACACACACGCATATCCTTCTTCTGTGAATAACAGCATTGTACAGTATTGACTTTTCCCAGGAAATGTTTACCTACTCAACTACTTGACATATGAATCTAAAAAGCTCAGTGCTATGCACACACACATTATCATCCAGCTAGACAAAAATAAACAACAACTCCGTCACAAGATGATTAAAAAGGCTTTTTAATTTAACAGAGTGTAAGACAAAGGCACGTAATGCATGAAATACAACTGATTGATAACGTAGTGCATCAGAGAGGAATAGAGAATATAAACCAGATATGTATTCATCAGTAAAACGTCCTCAAATATGTCCTAAACAGGAAGAGAGAAATATAATACAGTAGGTAGAAGACAAGTATTAACACAAACATGTTATTATGGCAAACGAACATTAAAAAGTGGTCCTTAGCTTCATATGAGATCATCATAGGCAATGTTAGTAAGACAAAAACAATACATTAATCAGTCAAAAATTGGCTCGTAGATCATCACTCAGAGCCTGTACTGAAGGCTGTAAGAACAAAACAAATTGCAATTTTCCTCAGAAAAAGGCCTTGTATCACAGTATAATCCATCGCCTCTCACTCACATTATTAATAAAATACAAACATCAGACCCATAAGACATAAAGATAGGTGTGTGCGTGCGTGCGTGCGTGCGCGCGTGTGTGTGTGGTAACAGTGAGAGAGACAGCTGGTCTTATCAGATCCCAGCAGAGGCTTCAGTGGTTATGGATCTCTTATGCCAACATTAATGACACTTCCCCCACCCCACAGCACCCTATCACTGTAAAACATTGACGTAAATGCTCACTCCTAAAATACCATTTTAAAAACAGTGCTCTTAGAAATTAAACATATTGCACTGTAAACATCGGTAAACAGAACAAACTTTAAGAGACGACTGACCGCACAGGGCAGACAAATATACGGAAAAGAAAACACCTAAAAACAGGATGTCTATTGCCTCTGTGCTTGAGACTGTAAATTCTTAATTTCAAGCAATAGAAAAACATTCGGGGAAATATGCTTATTGATTTTTTTGCAGAGTATAAGATAAGTGGATTTATACCACTCTGCGGTCTGTATGCTAAATATGCAGCTACAGAGCACCTAGTTAGTCGAGTGTTTACAACACATAACAGCCAGATAACAACATGTCCCGGGTTTGAAATAATCTACAATCAGTAGCCAATTATCTTATCTTAACATTAAGACTGTAAACATGGCGAAATAGCTAGCATGTCCCTGTGCAAAGGTAATGGTGGCAACAAAATCTGCCTCGGAGCATCTAAAAACAAACTGTGTAAGAGTGTCAAAAGTACATGTAATAGGTTATGTGCCCGAAGTAGTTCCTGGAATAATTACCCAGAAAATGTCACTTTAACACTTTTTTGTAAAGATTAAACATGACGTGTTCATTTGTCAGCTTTTCAGTAGATTTTGTTCCCATTTAAAGAGTCAGGCTAGCTGTTTCCCTCTTTCGATTGTTTATGCTAAGCTAACCGTAGCATCATATTGATATGGAATCTAACGTAAAAGAGATAAACGCATTTCCCCAAATGTCCAACTATTCTTATAAAGGTGACAATAGCATTTCGTAACGTTAGCCAACAGCATAACAAGCTTGAGGTTTTGTTTGTGTGTGCATGATTTCTAACAGATGGAGAGATGTTCAAGTCAAGCAGAAGCAACATGAGAAACATTTATCCATGGCCTAATTTGACCTCTTCAAATAATATTTCCCCCAAAATCTGTGGGGTAAGTCTCATATGCAACTCTTTCCACCCTTCTTGATCCTTGTCTATTTTCTTGTGATGAATTCATATCAAACCTTAGAGAAGTAACACAATTTATTAATTCATTTAACTGTTATAAATATTATTTTAAAGGTTAATGAAAAATGTTAGCAACACATTCAAGTTCTACACAAGAGAAAAATTACCTACATTTAATTGCAGTTTGACTTTAAAAAACAATGACTTCTGTAAATGCGTGGCGATCGTGTCTACTGACGATTGTACAACCAATCCTCTGAGACAGTCCTATCCTGACACCAGACAGCGTCCATGTTTCTGAAGTGTTATTGTCAGTGTGCGCTCTTCACTCTCAGACAGGCACTAACAACCTGTCGATAGCGTACTGTAAACGCTCCCAGTTCTTCCAGAAAATGGTCAAAAAACAGACTCCCAGTACGGTAACTACCACATGGTGCCGGCTCCTCATCAGTGGAGCGGCAAACTTGGCAGCAGTGGAGACGCACACGAGGATGACGGTGATGATGGCCAGCATGATGTTGATGCTTTTTCCCAGAAGCACTCTGGCGTCACGGCTCTCGATCTGCACCGTCTGCTGCTGCTGCTGCTGGAGCTCCAGCTTGGAGACTCGCGTCTGACACGACTCCAGAGCCTCCTAAAAAGAGAGAGAAGAACCATGAGAGTCTGAATGTTTCCAAAATGGCTAAAGGGCTTTTTGCTGACCCTTAATTAATCAAACTTCAATTAGAGATTCATTATGCATGAGCAGAGAGACAGAGAAGATAAATGTCAAATGACAAAACAGACTTTGTACCCTTCAGAGTGTTATCTCATGAAGGGAACGATTGTACGTAGGCCACTAATGCATTCGCCTCTATATGGTAATGTCCTTAGCTTGATTACAGTAGACTCATTATGGGATGTAGAGAAGCTTGGTGGAGATGTTAAGATTTTAAATAATTCCAAAACTATACATTTTAATATGCTTCTATCTTAAAGTGGCCCTATTTTTGCTTTTCTGGGCGTTTCCTTTGCTGTAGTGTGTTATATAGGTTTTAGTGCATTTAAACGCTCTGCAAAGGCTAAACTTTGCAGAGCGTTTACTGTTACGTGATTCTCTGTTACATGCCTGTATGTCTCTGGCCCTCTCTTGAGCCTGGTACGCGATCCTCTCCTCGATGCTGGCCAGCTCCTGCTTTAGATCACTCATCTCATGTTGGTGAAGCTCTGTCAGGTCGTTCAGCTGATCTTCTAAGCGCTCGTACCTGGTACAGGATGCAGAAATGTCCGATTTGAATACTGTGTATGAAATACTTCACTACAAATGCCATGTGTGTTTACATTTTTAGAGAATAGACGTAACATTAGAAAGGATGTATTTTTGAATGAAGTAATAATCAAGAATATTATCATTGGAATACATTTCTATTTATTTCTTGGCATAGGACATTTCAATTGATAGTTGTGAATATAGCTAGTCTCTCTATAAGTCAGAAATCAGATAAGTAAGTCTCAAACATGCGTGGAAATCAAAAAGGTTGCTCACTGGGGGCACACAATGGTAATTGAGGCTCTGGCCCACTGAGGAAAGCCCATTCATTTCCAGTATTACAAACTGGGTGTCTGTGGCAACATTCCAAGGGGAAATTACATGCAAGCTTAGTTAGTTATGCATTGTCCTATTGGAGGATTCTGCAGAGAGAGTGGGCAGATCTAACACAACAGACTCACTCTTCAACTCACTCAAACCACAAATGCCTCTGCTAGCATTTCAGGCAAACGGACACTAGGATTTAAAAATATGATAAAGAATTATACCAATGCCCGGGTGCTAACCGGCTGACATCAGAAAGATCCAACAACCCATCTCTAATTAATGCCCTCACCATACTTGCACAATAGAGAACCAATATTGTATCCAAATTATATAATTAAGTAATAAAAACATACCTGTATCGCTCCTCCTGCAGTGATTGGCTGATGATGCCATACTCCCTTTTGAACTGAGCCTTGATCTCCTCCATATCCTCCTCCAGCTGGCTCTGGGCCTCTTTGATCTCCCTCACCTCCTCCAGGCTCAGAGCTAGTCTGCCCTGGCTGTCGTCCTTGGCCTGCTGGCCCGGAGTCAGCCCCGCTGGGTTCCCGTTACTATCTGCTGAAATGGAGGCGCTCCCCGAGGAGCATTCATCATCACTGGGGTACTTGGGCTTGCCCACCATGGAGGTGCTGCTACTCAGTCCCTTGCTGGCAGTGTCAGTGGGCAGCGTAGGGGAAGCATCCAGAGAGTTCTTGAGGTGGGCGATGTTGTCAGCGCTGCCAAACTTGTTTCGGATGAGGTTGGCAAACTCTCTAGGCTTGCTGAAGAAGAAAGGAGGGGAGAGGGAAACACCTGGGCCAATGGTCTTGATCTTGTCCATGGTTGGGTGTCGGCCACTGCCCGTCATGTCCTTCAGCAGCTGTCTGGGTGACTCCCTGGGCATGGTGCTGTGTTTGACAGGCAACGGGTGAGGGGATGGGCTGTAGTGGGTTTCACTGTCTTTCATCTTTCGATGGTACTGTTCCAGCTTTTTCTGCATCTGGGCGATGTTTTGAGCGGACTTCTGGTTCTTCTTCTCAAACACCTGCTTGATGCGCCCGACCTGCAGCTTGTCGGCGCTGTTCACCAGCTTCAGGTACTCTGCCACGTTTTCATCCCGGGCCGTCTGCTCAATCTTCAGCTGCTCCGTGACTTTGAGCATCTTCTGCTGGAGGCTGTCCAAGCAAGACCGGCTACGCACGACCTCAGAGCCCAGACCAGGACTTCCATCGGTCAGATCCAGGTCCAGGTTGGTCTCTGAAGAGCCCCGCCGCATTGACCCGGAGATGCTCGCAAAACTGCCCTCAGAACTCCGGTCCTACGAGTAGAAGAAACAACAATCAGATAAACATACTTTATTAGATAGGGAGCAATTTCAGAAATGATCTTGGAGCTACTTTAGAACAGCAACTACATTTCCCATTGTATGCATTAATACATGAAACCCCAAAAGAGCATTTCATTCACTTTCAAATTGGACCTCATTTCCTAGTTTATACTATAATTCCTCTTATTTACTATAATTATACTTATAATACATGTTATTTCATCTCACATAATCTCCATACTCTTTTAAGAGACACATTACAAAACTATAGTGTGTATGGAAAACTACAAGTGGTGGCTTCTGATAAGGAGCTCTCTAGTCCAATGGACAGTTGTATCAAATGTATTATTTTCACTCTCATTTATCAGGAAGTTTGGATAATTTGGTAAAACTTGAGGGTGTTTCCAGAATTTGATCTGAAGGAGTTGTTATGCCCCATGGGTGCCTTTTTATGTCTCTGGAAAGCGATTATTTGTGACCATTTCACAATGTGTGTTATGTGCAGTTTGCACCGTCTGAAGCATTACATTGGCATTCATGTCGGCCATTTAATAGAATAAAAACATCAAGATGGGTGGCTGGTGAGTGAGATGTTACGAACAATGGCTGAAAAAACAAGAGCTGGGTAATGAAACATTATTGCCGTTTTTGACGTGTGCTCCTCTTCTCTACAGTAATACAGAGCAAGGCCTCTGATCTATTTCGATTCCTGCTATTGCCACAGTGAGACCATCTGGGTGGGAATGTAATGCTCTTATTTGGAGCATCCGTTATGTTTTAGAAGCCAGAATTTAATCCTGTTGTATTTACATTATAGCACACTTGACACATTCAGATACCAACTATTAATGTGTGTAAAATAAAAGTGGAGCGTGGATCAAATGTAGGTCAGTGATCATCTCAAATAAGGCCATGATGCACAGGAGATCCCTTTTCAAGACATTTCCCCCTGTTTTGACAGTAAATGACCATTCTCCTAACAAAGGTTCAACATTACACTATTGACTGACATGTCAATAGTTCACTGTTGAGAGGCCGGCTATAAACTTCAGGAAGTGAAACTAAATAAATGTGGCTTAAGTAAGCAAGTTCAACTATGAAAGGAAACCTAACAACTTCACATAAAAGGGGAAACAGACGAAAGCTGTGAAGACATACAGTATGTTCTTCTTTTTTTTCTTCGGAGCAGCATTTTTAGAACATGAGTTGCACCTCAAGTGTAATAGCACAACACCAGTGTATGGACAGGATGTGTAAACTGATAGAGCCTAATGCGAAGTGTTGAACAACAAGCACTATGGGCTGTACAAAGCTGTAATAATCCATAACAAATGTAACACCACTAGTTTCAAGCAAATAAACTGATCACAGCTAACTCAGGCAGGCTTAGGGCTGAATCCAGCTTAGCATTCCCACAACACCACATAATGCTTACATATTGCAAGCTAAGTACCTTTACAATTGACAAATGCCTCGCGTTCACCACACATTGACACTCCTCGACATGTGACTGTCAGGTGTACCTAAAGACAGGGTTAACCAATAATACAGTGATTAAGTATGAGTACACTGCTGCACACAAACAGAGGATGACATAAGAAATACATTCTCAGTCTTTATTCCTCTTTCAAACCAGTTGGATTTAAGTTATCCAGTTACACATTCCCGTTTACTTGCTGTTGCCATGACCTCACACTTAATCAACCAGTCAAACCAGTTTTCGTGGGTGATACCAGTGAGCAAGAATTTGATTTATCATCGCCGACTTCTCCATTGTGTACTAGAATGTAGTTTCACTACAAAGTAACACAGAAAATGTACTTGTTTTTGGCTTAATGGTTGGAAACCTTGTGTTTGTCTGTACGTCTGTCAACTGTCTGTAGGTGTTTCGGTTTGTCTGTCTATCTCTCGGTTCAATCATTTGGTACAGACTAAACTATCCCAATAAAAACGGGTTGACTTTTTCCCAATGGATTCATGTTTCACAGAAAATAAATCCTAAGAACTTCTGTGACTTTCCCTGTAACACCATCATGTGACCAAGTTTAGCCAATTAGCTAATGTTAGCATGCTAACCAATTACACTAAGATATAAATGCTGCTAAACATAAGCAGGTTATGATGCTAGCACTAGTATTTGAATCAAAGTAAGTACAGCTGAACCAACTGCTAGCATGGCTGTAGTAATAACTACTAGTAGTACATGAACACATTTACAAATAGTAGTTGTAATATTATAGTGCCTATAATTATACTGTACATACTACATAGGCTACTTTATGCATAGTGTGTAACCAGAGAATGCACTGCCTGGGGTAATACAGCCTCTGTCCTCATCCCCCCCTCTCTGGCATCTGTCCTTCTTGAACACAGGACGCTTTGTCTTCGGAGAAAAAAAGCGCACTTTGTCATGTCCTACCTCTGCTCTGTCCAGGACTCTGATGAGCGAGCTACTGCATATGGATTCACTGGCCTGACGTATAGCCTGAGGAGCCCCGCGTCCAATCACAATCCTGCTCCCTCCAGAGCGCAAACAATAACTCTTCAAAACAATCAGGTTCACACATAAGTCCTGCTTTTTGTCAAACCTGTTTGTCAAAGAAAGAGAAGCTTAATATCCTCCTCCTTCAAGCGGAAGTATAGGGCAGGTTGCTCATATTACCCAATTGTTTTAGTTTTCAAACAACAAACACAAAGAGCTGCCTGTTCCACCAGACAGCTTAGACTGCATGCTATTTATCCAGGACTGGAACTAAGCTGGCTCCTCAGGCACTCTCCTACCACAGCCTTAACTTTGAAATGTTCAATACTCTCACTTGGTACAGCAGGGGTCAGAGAAAACAGGGGTGTGTTTCTATTGCTTCAAGGTGCTGGTATCACATACTCCGGATGAGCGTAGAATGGATCAAATTGTGACCTGGCTGGCAGCCATTGATGAATCACTGCTGAAGCCAGATGGAAAAGACCTGTAGTACCGACTGTCAAGCCGAAAGAGTTTCACACAGCTGGAAGGATGGGCCTACGATTGTTCTTATAAAAAAAAAACAAGAATGCTTTTGGCAGAATGAGGCCTGATTCACGAGAGCAGCTCATATAACACTCATAACTCAACCCAGATGTTACACACTCAAACCCAAAAACGTGTGTGACATACGACATTTTTTATAAGAAATGTAATAGGCTAATTTCCATTAAAGCTACTCAAGGTTTTCTGGCTAAACGCTGGAGAAATGTGAGGGTCTCTCTGTGTGAGTGGCTCTGCTAAATGAAATAGACTCATGCTGATGAAAAATGTCCTCCGAAATATGCTGAGGAGCTGCCCTACTTTTTACTCCGTTACTCCCAGGGAGTTATGCAGGCATTCTCCAGAGGTAGAGGGCTGGAACAGGGAGAGGATTAAAGGACTTCTGGGGCTGGCAGGAGGGGGGAAAGCCCAGGAACTAGGGGAAAAGCCGCCACAAAAAGGCAGATGGCAACAGTAAAATCTGACAGTTATGTGGACAGCCCTTTACAGATTCAACACTAGTTAGAGTTTGATATTATGGTGTTACCATCTCCATCCTAATACCCGTATGGCTGTCTTCAAGCTAAAGGATGACCTCCTACTTGTGCTCATTTATGATGATTCATTCAGATTACAAAGTGAAAATTTGATTTACCCATCTGACTGATCATATGCCTAAAATCTGGTTTATCACTACCAATGTGAGAAAAATGTTGTCTTTGAAATGAATAAGCCACGACTGTTTGACTAACCCATTGATATTAGTTTGATAGGAGATTAGAAGCAGAGGGACAGACCGAAAGTGAGAGACAAAATGTAGACAACCAAAACAGATACGATGAAAGGAATAGAACAAAAGGAGGGCACAGCAGCACACATCACCCCGATCATCATCTCCTCCAACAGGATCTACAGGATGCCCCCGGGGTGCCTCTCTTACACCTCAGCCCTGTTTGAGCCCCCTGTCCCCCATGCTGCCCTACATAGCAAACAGCGTCTGTCCAACACCATGACCCATTTAAAATGCTATGACCTGGCTAGACAGCATAACATAAAGATCCAACTGCATTAGCCTCAATCTGAGCCCAACAGAGAGCGTGTGTTGTTCTGCTGGAAAAATCCGTCCAAATCTCAGTAACATTTGGGGGCAAAGGCAGGAGAGTTGATAGAAACTGCAGATGCGGCTTATCTTGCACTGCAGTGAGCTCTCTCTTGGATCAATGATCAAGTGAGTGATTTCATTTTTCATGAAAAAACAGATATTTTTACCGCAGCAGAGGAAGAAAGGTGCAAAGCATTAAAGCACTAAAGTCCTGAACTGGAGTGTGGTGAAAGCACATAGATTATTCAGAATGGGTGCAGTAAAAGTACTGAGATAAATATTGGTTCTTCAGATAAGCAGGATTTACAGAAAGTGAGTCCGTTTAATGCTAAACTCACTGTCCGTGCCTGTTAAAGGCGTCTCTGAAAAACACAGTTTTTCTTATGCAAACAGGAAGGCATTGTCCCCATTACGAGGAAGTAAAGTTTGCAAAAGCTCACATATTTAATCTTGTGAGATCATCAGTTCACACTGTAAGGTCAGGTCTTGCAGCACAGGCACAGGTGTTTGCGGTAATTAGAGGGAATTAGATACAAATGGTGAGACTGTGGTGAGTGGGTGCATAGGGGGGAACTTATTCTCACTGTCAAAACCTTGAACACACACACACACACACACACACCATGTATACATCACTTCCGGGGACATTACATTGACTTACCTGCATTTACTGGAGACTTATCCTAACCTTAACCATAACCAACACATGCCTAACCCTTACCCTAACCCAGTCTTCACCCTAAAATTAATGATTCCCCTCATGGGGACCTCCATTTTGTCCCCATAAGGGAGGCGAGTGACTGTGTAAACAGATTTAGGTCCCCACAAGTATAGTAATGCTAGGACACACACACACACAAGGCGAAAGAGCTGGCAGACTTATTTAGATGGAACAAAAGCGTCCCTTGAAGAGAGAACAGAGCCACAGAGGGGAAGAAGCCTGCAGTGCTTATTGGTATTCCCTCCAGCTGATCCTCATGGATACAGACACTCTCACAGCTCACAGAGGGAGAGGGGAAGAAAAGCAGAGAGGGAGAGCGACAGGGAGCACCTCTTTGATTGCAGAGAGCTGACCCAGCATCTCCTCCCCCTCCTCTCATCTGCATCCCACAGCTGCACCACAGTTTGATTGCAAAACTTTTTCTTCAGAGGCCAAGAAGTATGCCTCATCAGAACAACAGAGGAAATAAAACTAGCAACAGAGTTTGAGGTCATGAGTTCCCTGAATGAGTAATCCCCATGAGGTCAGCGGAGTGAATTGCTTAAGACATATTCATTATTATCTCATAAAAAAGCTGGTCCTGGACTAAATCAAAGGCCCAGCATCTGCCTGCCCCCATGGACTGAGAAAGTATTTATGGGATTCAATTAAGATAAAATGCAGCTAAATTCAATGCACTGATTCAAAGTTGGAGAGTGAATAGAGCCAATGGCGTAGCAGGATTAGTGATTAGGCTCTTGAGACATTGAACATGAATTTATAAAAGGGGAAAAAAGGGACAATAGTTGCTAGTTAATGATTTACAACATAAAGAAGGTAACTATTAAAAGGTTGCTTATTATACTGATGTATTGTTAAGCGAAAATGCGCGAAAAATAAATAAATAAAAGTTTTAACAACATGTTTATTTATTGACTTTTCATTCCTGTATAATCATTTTGCGCAAAGATGGCACTGTTTGTCAGAGCACTTCATCCTTCTGGGATTTCATGAAGAACAGCTCCAACGCCTGTGTGTATGGGAACGCCTCTGGTGCTGGTCCATTAACTAATATATACAATATAATGTATTATATTACATTATTGCCTCTGAATTGGATTATTATCGGATAGGGTAATAACTTAGTAAGTAACTACGTCTGAAAGCAGAAGTCCAGGGCAAGAATTCTCTCTTCAGTGCGCATGTCACAGTGCACGATGCATTGTGGGACATGTCGTCTGTAAAGTGGCATGTAACTGTATAATAACGTATTATATTCTTTGCAAGCTCTTGCGGGCCACATCAAATGAAGTCTCGGGCCGGATTTGGCCCCTGGGCCTTGAGTTTGACATCCCTGATCTAGAGATAGGGTTAAAGACTCAGAATGAGGCGTTGCATCATCTTTGGCCTGTAAGCCACTATATCTGCTGGACAATGGCTTTTTTTTTTGAGGAACCAAACAGGAATGTAATAAACCAGCCAAATCCTAAGATATGTTGTTCCATTATATTGTGATGGCAATCAAACCACAACCGAATACTTGTTTACTTGAGCTGGCTCAAAATATGTGTTTGAGTATCTTTCAAGCTCTACTCCAGGGGAAATGTTATTGATTTCATTCCTTTATCACCAATCAGATTTACTGTAATCCGAATGTATGTGCAATTGTTCAAATGGCAGTTTTAATAGGAGCTAAACCGGTTAAAGAAAAGCTGCCAGCGCTCTCTCTCTCTCTCTCTGGGATGCAGGATGCCTTTGAAGAGTATGGCTGACAGGAGTGGCAGCACTGGAGGCTCATACATAAACTGGGAAGACAAACAACCTGCTGCACGACACCTGACTTGTTTCTTGTGATATTAAAAGACGCTTTGGAGGTTGTAATCTTTCTTATCTGACTCAATGGTTAACAATAGAGGGAGTTGTTTGTTGGACATATTTGAAAGCACTTTCAGACAAATTGGTGATTTGGGTTTCATTAATGAATATACTGATTTGTCTACATTTCTGTTTAAAGATATAAATAAGATACCATTTGATAATTATCTGGACATTTCTCTATGTGAGTTCAATCCCCTCTTTGTGTCAGGCGTTGAATTAAATCTCAACGACACCAACACTTCACTCATTCGAGAGTTCACATACTTATCTGACACAATGGTTAAGAATAGAGGGAGTTGTTTGTTGGACATATTATAAAGCACTTTCAGACCAATTAGTGATTTGAGTTTAATTCATTAATTTACTGATTTGTCTACATTTCTCTGTAAAGATATAAATAAGATACACTTTGATAGTTATCTGGACATTTCTCTATGTGACTTCAATCCCCTCTTTGTGATAGGCGTTGAATAATTCAATCTCAACGAAACCAACAATTCACTCATTACAGAGTTCACATACATAGATAACATGAGTCCTGAGTGCATGACAATCAAGATGAGGTCAGATTTACTCTTGAAAAACTAGGTTAGATAAAAATGCTTGTTGCGTCTTTTTTGGCTAGAGGATAACACATAGAAACACACTGCAATTCCATAGAACATCCAAACTACAGAATGGAATTGACATATGGATGAAACAACACCCTTCAAAATTACTATAGCCCTTGCCTATACATTTTAATTAGAGCTGCAACATTAGGTTATTAAAATAGTATAACAAATATATTTTCATAATAAATCATATGATATCGTTTGTTTAACTCAAATTCAATGGATCCAGCTTCACCCATGGGGACTTTACATATGTTTTTTAAAATTTATTATTTTAAACTGTCGAACAAATCAGGCAATGTAAAGACATCAATTCATGCTCTGGGATGTAGGGGGCCTTTTTCTATAATTTATACCATTTAATAGCCCAGAGAATGAATCTAAAAAACGATATAATGATCACCACAGTAATCGATATGTGAAACACTCGTTAGTTTCAGGCGTAATTTGGATGTGAGGCACCACAGAAAGATTATCATCCCGTTTGGATGTCTTCAAATGTGTGGACACCCGCATTATGAGCCGAACAGGATTTTGTACCCGGAGTTCACAGTGACACTTGAAGACATCCAACCAGTGGAACCAGACATGCTCTTTCTCTGCGTAATCCCCCTGCCTGTACCCCGGGTTGGAGGCTCTTTGTTGGGGGAATGTGCCGCTTCAGAGGCGCAGCTGTCGGTTTCTCATGACGTGGAGATGATCCGATAACAATGTGCGCTGGTACAGTAAGGGACCTGCCTGGCACAACAATGCTGCGGAACACACTCTCACATGACATTACTCACCATCCGGCTGCTGAGGTATTTCTCCACTTCGGATAAACTTCGCACGGACACGTTGGCGCTGGGCATAATAATCCCGGGTTGGTGGGTCAGTCCGGAGAGGCCGGGGCTTCAATTCTAGACTAGTTTACAACTCAGACCTAATCTCGTGTCCATGTTGAGCCCCTTTTCTCTCCCCCTCTCTCTCCCTCTCACACACTCTGATGGCCCTCTTCAACAAAAACATAGCTCCGCCTCTCCTGGTCCAAAAGGAGGGGTTAACTCCTTCAGCGCCTCTCACTGGTGGAGGAAAAACAGTTTATAGCCTAAATGTATTTATTTGAGTTTGTGATCAAGAGAATTGTTTTAATAATGATATTCCCACAATATGCTTATGATGGTTTTGAAGTGGGGTTTAACTTAATGGCGTCTTATGATGAATGGCTTTCAAATGAAGTGTCGCATTTATGAGAGTGGAGATCTAGGCTACCTCAACAAAGCAAAGAGTCAGTCTTTTGCAATATTGATTACATAAATGATATTGATTTATTAATCATGCAATGTTACACATGTTAACTCAAAGCCAATAAGGTCATTAGCGGTTGTTAAGCTAGTTAAATTGAAGTTGTAATTCAATTAAAAGAAAATTAAAGTTGCTTGACATTTCTTTTTTCAAATGTTTAAAGTCATCAGCACTTTAAACTAGTAAACTAAGATATACTGCTGCCTGCTGGTAGTTTAATCTGCATGATCATTTTGTTGTCGACATGTGCTGCATGTAAACTAGAAATGAGTTCCTAGCTGTCAAACAACTGTATGGTGGAGTAGAAATATAAAATAGATTAAATGGAAATGCACAAGTGAAAGTACCTCAAAAGTGTACAGTTCCTGAGTAAAATTCTCTTATGCAACAGCTATTGTTTAAAAATATGGGGAATTGCATAGACTGTATAAAAAAGAGAAATACATACAAATCAAAAACATATCCAATTTCCATTAGTCAAAGCTGTACAGTATATTAGCTGTAAACAAAACTTTGTATCAAGACCCAAACCAACAAACACGCTGTTATTATTTTGTGATAGACTCTAGACTTGTGATATTTGGTAGAGTTTAAAACATTACAAATGACTTCTAAAGTAAAAAATGCTTTAAACAAGAGAAAACCAATATTACTAAAGAGGAATGTGTAAATGAAAAAAACAAAACTGTGAACTCTTATCAGTTTTTTGGGCGGTAATTACTCATTTGACTTATGTTACTTAATCTTTACTTTACTATATGTGTGATGATCACCTCGGCTGGTATCACTGGACACTGCTGAGATGTCTTTAGCTGGTACTTTTATATTTTATCTTTAGAATTGATTATGCTATATCTATATTACTATATTAAAGTTAATATAAGAGACCCCTTGTTTTGTAGCAATCTCCTCACTTGCCCTTAAGCATTACAACTAAAAGCCCCAAGAGGCCATGGGAACAGTCCAGCGGGGCCTTTCTCTCACATTCATTCAGCCTGCTAATCCACCTGGCTGTGAACACAAAAACCCATGGTGCATCACAAATTGCTAAACCTTTACAATTACACATAATATCTTTGTGTTTCAGGAGTTTCAGATTATCTGTGCTGTCCTCTTTTGTTTGAACAGCAAGTGTAACATGGCATGCAGGGAGAGTAGAGAGATTTGGAGATATGGCCTTGGGGAATCAAATTAAAGAGCTACAGGATGTACTGGACTTCTAAGAACAGCATCAGAATTAATCTGGGCATTAAGATTTAATGGTCGTATCAGTGGCTTTAATTAGCTGGACTCAGTCTCTAGGTAACTACAGCAGATGAACGCTTACAGGTGCTGTCCTCTGTTCCTGCAGAGCACTGATGAAAAATGTATTTGCTAATAACACACTGAAAGTCTATCGTCCTCTGCACAGCAGCCTGATACACGTTACACAAAACGCCTCAGTAAGTTTCTGGGTGAAGATACAGATTTTGCATTATTTATTCAGAAGGACCATGTAAACAACCTGCTGAAGTTATTCAGACAGGGGCGTGAAGTTCCATGAAGCATGTGTAGCCTACTGAGTTTTTCACGTTTGTTTAAACACAGAAAACAAAGAGTTATGCCGGGTTTTAAATTGTCCAGATAACGGAGACAACTTTTTTGAAGGAAGCCCCTAAATCAAAATGTGGATAAATCTATGGGATTAATGCAAAACAACAAAAGGGGAGAAGACAACATGTTTATACTCTAGTGTTCACCCCAAAATCTTTGTGTGTATGTGGTCATATTTATTTGAAGTTTACTTAAAAACGGATTAACAAATTGAGACAGACATTAATTAATCTCTTTGATTGACAATGGTCAAAGTTTGATTAGCTTGATGAACTTGTGAAAATGTTAATGTTAATCGCTTTTAATAATTTGATTACTCGGTACCACTTTACAATAAGACTACCCTTATAAAGGGTTTATGAATAGTTTGTAATTCATTTATTAATTAGGTTGTGAACACTTTTTAAATCATTAATAAGCTTTTATAAGACATGAGATAAACAGGGCAACTGTGACCGGTTGCTTGCCAAATAGTGAGCCCACATTTATCTGTACTGCTAAGTCTTATATTGGCTACTTAGCTTACTTCGTGTTCTTCATCAGCCAGCATCCTTGGTGTCTGTTGTTCACTGAGCAGGGGCGGATCTACCGGGGTGGCATGGGGTGGCAACTGCCACCCTAAACAATAGCCTTGCCACCCCAGCTGCCACCCCAGTTGGCATCTTTGTTTTGAAAGAAAAGTTGTGGCTCATCGGACATTTATGAGAGAAAATCTCTAATGTCCGAGTGCAAATGAATGCAGCACAAGACGCGAGTCTTGTAACCCCTCCCCCGGCCCTGGCGCGAGAGTGGAAATATGATTGGTGACGAATTCACTTGAACGGGGGGACGGCGCAAAACGAGAAGCCTTTCGGACTCAAGTAGATGGAAGGAATGAGGTAGTTGCGGTCTACAATGACAGAGAAGAGAATGTCAAGTTTGGCTGTACTCAGCATTGAATCAAAACGCACTACAGCTGTTGATCTTAATAAGTTTGTGAGGCGTTTTGCTGAACAAAATAGTAATCGCCGCATTCAGCTGTAATAGGCATGCCAACTTGATGCTCTGCTCACGGATGACTCGATGAGCATAAAAAACTGTTAAGATGATGACCTTGTATGCGTGTATATATATTTTTTCTTTGTGGGGTTCTGCCCCCAAAAAACTGTTTTAAGTCCTGAGAAAGTAAAATAAGACGGTGTGTAAAACTACACTGCCCAGCCAACAGAAAGTAACCACTTTGATTTAACTAGGCCAGTAGGTAAGGACCTTCCACTGGATAATAACTGCAGCGATGTTTTAGCTGAATACACGTTTTTTAACCCTAACTGATGCAGTTAGTCACTTCTTTAATGTTTGTTCTTTCTGATGTAAAGTCAAGGTTGTAACTGTATATCAATAATGATATAATTACTTGTTTTTCAAATTTGAAGGAGGGTGAGCAAGCATCTTGATGAAAATTCATCATTAACTCCTCCAAAAAATATAGTTTATTCAATACTAAATGAATATGTGAATCATAACAGTTCTTCACTATATCTGTAAAGCGTCTTTGAGCACCTGTAAAAGCGCTAACAAATTAAATCTATTATTATTATTATTATTTATTAACAGTGATTGACAGCTGATAGGAATAATATGATTGTTAATATTATCATATTCATACAGACAAACATCGATGAGACAGTTAATTAATGTACTTATTGCAGCAGTCTTCATAGATTTGGTACCCCTGCTGGTCTAAGAGTGAAACAAACTCTTTCAGTTATTTTTCAGTTAAAATTCATTAAATTACGTCTGCCACCTTATATATGTATATGTAAGGCTTTACTGATGTGCCACAATAATATCACCTATGTCATTGAGTTAAAATATTAATATTGTGGCTTTCCAAGTTAACATTGATTGTAGGGGTGTAACGGTTCACAAACATTTCGGTTCGGTACGTACCTCGTTTTTAGGTCACGGTTCGGTTCGGTACGTTTTCGGTACAGCAGAAAAAATTATCACAAAACATTAAATATATATATATTTTTTAATTATTATTAAACTGTGAATAATGTATTCAAATAAATACAAAATATAATAAAATAAACATTAAGGTGCAGCATTTCGATGAACTGAAATAATCTGTATTTGAAATGTACTGTACTAGTACTCACAAAACATAAACTATTAGTTTTGGGTTTTTAATTATTATTAAACTGTGAATATTCACTCAAATACATACAAAATATAATAAAATAAACATTAAGGTGCAGCATTTCGATGAACTGAAATAATCTGTATTTGTACTAGTACCTAAGCAGCCAGTTTGACATTAGGACTTGCTTGTCATTGTATTTTCATGTTTTTTTAAAGAAAGATGAACTTGTCCACATTGCTTGCTGAAAGGGCAGATCTGCTGGCACTAACAATGTCTCCTGCTGTGGAGAACACCCTCTCGCTAGGGACAGAGGTAGCAGATACAGCCAGATAGCGCTTTGCTAACACGGCAACATAAGGATATTTGGCGTTTGTAATAGCTTTGGTTCGTTCTGAACTTTTGCGAGTGGTGGAGGCTTAAATGCTAGCGGGAGTTAGGTTTGCACTTCAGTCTTTTTTCTTTTGGTACCGGTGATATTCACGTTCGGGTGATGCCTTTTCAAGAGTGTGCAAGTTTGATGTATTGCCAGCCGCGTAACCAATTTTAGTTGAACAATGCCGACAAACAGCTTTGGTTCGGTCCACCTGTCTTTGCCCGTCATCCTTGTACGTAACTGCGAAACCAAAATGTTCCCAAACCGGAGACTTCAATGATGCTGGAGGATTTTCGAGCTCAACTTTATCTGCGTTCGCCATTTCTACAGTTCCTCAAATGACTGACTACATTTGACCGCATCCCTCTGACCAGCTCTCATAGTATGCCTCTCGTCCAATGAAATGACTTGCTCGCTCTATGATATATACCTGAGATTACTCCCAGAAAGTTGTTCATGTTCTCAATTGTTTACGTTTAACGCTATATTCGTTCGGTACACACGTGTACCGAACAGTGCTTGAATTGGAATGAAAAAGGTGCCAGTACTCTAAAATCAGCAACTTTTTCAAGTCAATTTTATATATACAGCCCACAAACAAGAATTTGGCT